GGCCGGCCGCGGCATCTTGCGGTAGTCGGTCGGCGAGTCGAGGTTAATGACGTGCAGCCGGTTCTTCAGCAGCTGGATCGCGGGGAGGAACGAGTCGCGCTGGATGCCGTTCTTGTAGAGCTCGTCGGGGTGGCGGTTGGATGTCGTCACGAGCACGACGCCGTGCGACATGAGCGATTCGAGGAGCCTGTCGAGGACTGTGTCAGTGGTTGTTTTGCAGTTCAAGGGGGGAGGCCCGCCTGGCGGGGGAGGTCGCCTGGCGGGGAAGGCCCGCCTGGCGTGGTTGGGTCTTCTCTCACCGTCGCAGGATCATGGCGTCGGCGACGTCGGTGCACTGGAACTCGTCGAAGCAAAGCACGTTGCCCTGCTCGGCAATGTCGGCGGCGATGAAGGGCACGGCGTCGACGTCGCTGCCGTGCTCGAGCTTCATCTTGTGGAGCCGCTTGTGGACGTCCTGCATAAAGTTGTGAAAGTGAATGCGCGTCTTGGACTTGACAGACGGCGGCAGCGTGTCGTAGAAGAGGTCCATCAGCATGGTCTTGCCGCTGCCGACGTCGCCGTAGAGGTAGAGCCCGCGAGGCAGGTTGCTGGGTATCGCGCCAATCTTGGCCTTGCCCGGCTTGCCTCGGCCGAAGAGGGAGCCGAAGATGGACTTGGAGGGCTTGAGAGACTCGAGGTCGGGGTGTACGACGGCCGGCGCTGCGTAGTTTGCCAGTTCATCATGGAGATGCTGCAGGCTCTCGATGATGCCTGGGACGCGGAAATAGTTAGCTGGGGCGTGGCGACAGCCTCTGTAGCTGGTTCTGGACCTGCTCACCCCTCTGATGCTCGTCGTTTCGCAGGGCGCCAGTCTCGACGCGGTGGTCGTACTCTTGCAACGGCCCTCGATTGTGGTTTCTCACTGCGCATTGTCAGCCTTGTCGGTCTGTCACAGGTTTGGCCGCTGCTCTGCTGGCTTCGCCTTACCATTCTTGGTATTCGCCGCGGCGACCGTCGAGGCCAATCTCTTCACCACGTGCTCTCGAGAGGAGCGAGGCGCCGGGTGCAGGCGTGGTGCAGCGACATGACCCTGCCTCGTGGCTCGCGCTCCAAACGTCTGGCTCGGTCGACAGAGGCACGCTGTGCATATCTTGCGACTTCGACCCTGCCTCAGCCTCGGCAACACGATGCCACCAGGCGCGTTGAGTCGAAGGCTGCGAAGCAGGGCAGAGGCGGCGCAAGGGCGCATAGTCGCGGTCTATAACATGCAGAAGTCTAAGCAATATTCTCCAAGGCGGAACCAAAGCAAACGAGAAGGGCTATGCCGTCGTGGCTGTTCATGAGACGTATGCAGGAAGCGTGATGCAACGTAAAGCCAATGGAGGGCGAGAATTCGGTCGTGGCCGGGTCGATGTGATCGGACGCATGTTCTGGCACCGACGGGGCATCTTCGTCAGGGCAGCGCCCGCCAAGTGCCAAGTGACAAGTGACGTGAGCACCCGCTGTCCGAATGCCGAACGATGCCGATGCCATGGTAGGTACTGTACCTACCCCTTGCTACCTGAGGTGCCTTGGGCTGCCTTAGACCTGAGGTGCCTTGGGCTGCCTTAGACCTGAGGTGCCTTGGGCTGCCTTAGACCTGAGGTGCCTTGGGCTGCCTTAGACCTGAGGTGCCTTGGGCTGCCTTAGGTAAGCCGAGTGGGAGGGCAGCGAGATACTCCCAGAGTCCCAGCAAACCACATCGTGGAGTCAACCCACATCATGGAGTCGACATGTCAACATCGGGCAAGAGACCTGGGCTCTCATGCACTTGACTTTCTCTTTGTGATACTATCCTTCACCTTCTGTAGAGATGTCCTTTTCAGTCCTGCTCCCCAGCAGGATCATTGTCCCTCTCATGCAACAGACGACATCTCCCATCATTGACGCAACTGACAGCAGGCAATCTGGTTTAAAAAGTATGCTTCAATGAGCCTCGAAGTTCGTGTCATGCGAAATCACTCCAGCACCGGTTGCCTCCCATTCACTGCTGGCACATCCCTTCACCAGTGGCACCACTTCACTCCCCTGCCCGCATCACCATGAAATCCCCATCACCTGGGCTGACGGCGAAGGAGATGACAACCCTGGCGGAGGCGTCAGTGATGCAGCACCAGAGTTCGATACATGACGCAGATATCCAACATGATATAACTATAAATAATACACTACTATATCACGTTTTTCGGAATCGTAGTCTCATGACCAGGACTCCCCAACAAGATATTCGAGAAATCATACATCCACAGCTAACCACACATTCAAGACACCCATACACTGCAATGCAGCAGCCCGTTGAGAACACCAGGGTCCTGTCGACCCGCCAACGTGTCCATCACCACTCTGGCGCTGCCCGGCCATCCACCATCATCGGCATCCTTCGGCTGGTCCAGATGGTTCTTGCCAGCATGGTCATCATGACGCGCCCCGCCGTCCTCGACTCCATGTCAACAGGGGAAGCCGACCACGGCGACTGGGCCGTGCTTTTCGGCATCACCGCCATCTGCTACGCCAAGATCTGCTACCACAGCCCATTCGGACCCCAAATGGCCTGTGTGGACTTGATATGCGCGTGCCTTTGGTATCTCATACTCGCTGTTTTCCGCGAACCTCGACTCGTCGAATCCGGGGCCACGAATGTGCCCCTCGCTCTGTCAATTCAAGCCAGCCGCCTCTCAGTTCTACTTTGGTATGGAACGGGCCTCTATGGGTTGTCAACGTGGTGGAGGCAGTCTAATGGTCAGGTTCGGCGAGGCGCGCATGTTTCGTGAGGGCCTCAATCAGAAGATGGAGGCATAATTCGAATCATCACACATGGTATCATGACACATGAATACGACCAAATGATATGAGAGACATGATGCTTTACATCCGCTGTCCATCTGCCGCACTGTGACGCATCTCTCCATCAGTGACGGGACCATGGCAGAGTCCCCAGGACAAGACATGTTAGACGCTGCCCGCCAAGAGCAAAGCCACGCCGAGAGACCCAAGGATCCTCATCCCAGACAAGTGGACCGAGCTGGCCAAGCTATCGCTGCCCTCACGCGCGCTCCCACCAGTCGATTCCGCCTCACCCGAGGGAACTGCATCCCCGGCGCCGTTGCCAGCCATGTCATCCGCAGACGAAGCCGTCCCGAGCTCGCCCCCAAACGCCTCGACGGGCGAAGACGAGTTCCGCCCCACGGCGTTCTGCGTGTACGCCAGCAGTGTCTGGTTGATCGTCGGGTTCACCACCCCCACCATGCCCATGGCACAGTGCTGTCCCTGGCTGCAGTAGAAGAAGATGGGCGCCGTGTCGTTGACGGTGACCTTGAAGACCTCCTCCTATCGTGCGGGTCAGCGTGTGCATCGGGAAGGAGTTGTTGGGTCGACTTGCATTCTTGCCCGACGCAACAGGCACGAAACCCGAGAAGAACCCGCCCTCGTCGAGGGGAGAACAGGGCGCCCCGTATCCGCCCGCCACGACGCTGTGGTTTTGCGGGTAGAAGTGAAACTCGAGCACGTCGCCGACGTCGGCGGCGATCTGGTCGGGCAAGAAGGAGAGCGGGATGCTGGCGACGTTGATCTCGATGGTCTTTGCGGCGACCCCTGCGCCAAGCAGGCCAGCAGCGAACCAGTACTTCATGATGAGGGCGATACCGTGGTTGAGGAGGACTTTGGGAGCAGTGATCGGAAGATGGTTCGTTGGTGCACCTGATGGGAGGACGGTCTGCGAGGGGGTCCATTGCATCTTCATGCTTTTCGCCAGCCAGTGCTCGGGTGGGCGTCCCAAGGCTAGAGCATCTTCCTTTGTAGCAGGCGCTTGGCGGAATGGTTGTTTCTTGGAAACTGAAGGTGCATCACATAAAGAACCATCTCAAGTGATGGTGCCACCAAGGAAGTGGCGTGGTCGGAGCGACAAAGAGCCTTGATTGATGATTCTCACCGAACGCTTTCATACCTCCCCAGCACCCCAGAAGAAGACTGTGCCGGCCCTCAAAGTAGAATGTCTGCACCTAGGGTGGTTGTGTCTCCTGTAGGCAAAAGCAAGCGACATGTCCGAACCCTGGTCAAGGATCAACATGGCTGTGCAGAGATGGCCTTGGACATATCACGTCTCATCGCCGTCAACACAATCAGGAATGGCCTCTGAAATGGAGTAGCAGTAAACATAATGCACCATCTTCAGAAAGCCAAAGCTGTCAGAACAAGTTCCGCCCGACTCTCCACTCTCTAGGTACTCGCAATGATCCTCACCAAGCTGGAGAAAGCCCAACGTCGCTACCTCACATCGAGGAGGAGGACTCGAGAGGAAGCAAGACAAGAAACCGACATAGACGAGGCTTGTATTCCAGAGCAAGGACCAAAGTCGTTGCTCCAATCATGGCTGCCGCGGATAAGCGCATGGCTCAGGCCTGATCGCACCGGCACACCTGACAAGTCCTTTGTGCCCTGTCCCCAAATCACATTTCTCGTTGACGGACCCCCGGATATAGTCTGTACCATTTGCAGAGTATCTGTTTTGAGCCTCTCACCCGAAGGCGACAGCGCTCGTTTGGCAGGTCAAACAGACAAGGACAACAGGACGCCGGCCATCATGCCCTGCGGCCATCTCGCGTGCGCAGGGTGTTTGTCAACCTGGTTCGAGGAGCACGATACGTGCCCGTTCTGTCGCTATCGGTTGGTGTACCGCAAGTGCGGGCACAAGATACAACTCAGACGAATGACAGAGGGCAGCATCTATCTGATCCCGGCCACGATCCCGGACGGAGGTGTCATTCCAGACCTGTGCTTTTGCTGCCACGAGGAAGAGCTGCGAAGGACGGCAGAGATCAAACTGGAGGCTTGCCGGCGCAGGTTTCGCACGGCCAGAGGTCGTTTCCAGGCTTCAATGGGGGATGAGCAGGCTCAAGTGCTGTTGGAGAGGAAGGCCGAGCTCGAAAGGGTCATGCTGGATGAGTTCCATGTCAAGGCTATGAGCCACTGGCTGAGCAGCTGGTGACCCAGAGCAGGGAGCCCGCACACGTGAATCGAATAGAATTGCCCAAGCCTTTCATGGTGCTCCTCGGTGTTAAAAATACAAAATACAATGGGCTGCCACTACGTGGTCTCTCTGCTGTGAACATGCCCAAAGAACAAAGAATCCGATATCTAATTCCATCACTGGCACCTTCATGTTGATAGGACGTGAAATCCCGTTGCCATTCCTGGCGAAGGACAAACAAAGAAGACATACCAAGAAGCCACATTAGACGCGGAGAACACGTGTTTCATTGTTCACCGCCAAATTCATCATTGCAGAGCCAGAGTACAGATATAACTATAGCCTGCCGTTCTTTGTCAGATACCTACTTTGTCAGATACCTACTTTTTCAGATACCATCAGACTTTGGTCCTCGATTGATGCCCGAGGCACGAGAGCCCGACTGCAGAAGTGAACGGTATCAGTCCGGGCCCAAGCTCGCTCATGCGATGCGCTGCGGACAGGCTTGCTGCGCGCGGTGAACAAAGAAGAGACGTGAATCCAATTCACTCATATCTAGCAGGGACTCGACGGGAAACACCTGGTCTCCAGACCTGAAGACTCGACACGCGTCAATTGACTCTAAAGAAGACCCGACTTGCCAGGGAAATCTGCATACTTTTCCATTCGATTGTCACATCAGTCGCATACCAGCTCAACTACCATGACCGGGAGGAAAGACGATGGAGGTGCGGTCAAGAAGGCCCTCCGCCAGAAGCGAAAGGTCCGCTTCGAGGACCAAGTCAAGGACGACACGCCTCGTTCTGACTCGAAAAGACGCAAGAGCTCGTCGTCGTCAAGACAAAACCCATCACCTCTCTCCAAACCCGACCAGCTCGCCGCGTCCCCGCCCCCCGAGCCGCCCGCCGACCTCACGCCGGCCGAACAGCGACGCCAGGCCGAGCAGGAGCGGCGCGACACGGCCAACGAGCAAAAGAGCCCCGTGCTCCCGACGCCGCGGGCCATCCGCGAGGCGCACATCAAGAAGGAATACGCGCCCGACGACCGGGCCACGGCGGAGCTGGCGGCCGGCATGCTCAACCTCGTCAGCCTCGCGGCGCGCATGAGCGCGTTCCCGCCGGGCGACGCCGGGCGCTACGGCGCGCTCGGCTACATCATCAAGCGGCTCGACCGGCTCGACCTCGACGGCGTCGACGCGCGCGTCACGGACATGACGCCGGCGCAGGCGGCGGCGGCGGAGCGCGACGTGCAGGCGCGGCTGCGCGAGGGCCAGGCGCAGCAGCGCAAGCTGTTCAATATGAAGAACACGAAAAAGTACGCCGCCGGGCTGCGCAGGTTCGTGGCTGATCCGCCGGCGTACCGGCGCGAGGTCGCGGCGCGGTGCGCGCGCATCTTCATCCACGACAGCTATGCGCGGGCGTTTGTCAAGTGGCTGCGGCAGCTGGACCGGGCGGCGCGTCTTGAGTGTCGGTACTTCCATGCGGTGAACTGGGAGCCGCGGAAGGTGACGGATGGAGAGACGGAGGTTTGGGTTGTGTAGCGTGCTTCTGAGAGGGGGTTAGAGACTCGTTTTCGCCTGGGTGGATGAGACGCCTATGTATAGAGGAGATGCAGACAACAGCATGGTGGCAACGCGGATTGTATTTATAGCGTTCATGTGAAAAAAAGCTTCTTTCTATCCGTCAGCCAGAGCTTGTTTCGCTGCAAGATGTAAGCCCGACCCCCGTGATCCAGACTGCCTGAGTGTCATCACAGGGCTTTCCGTGTCCCCTCGCGGCGCCGTGTGGCAACCCGACCCAACTCCGATGCTTTGGAAAAATAAAAAGGACGAGCGACAAAGAAGAAGGACAAAGACAACAACCAGAGCCTCGTGACAAGAGGCTCGAAAATCCGAGTCGAATGTATTGTTAGTTTTACAAAAAGTAGTCCGCGACCGGCTTCTTCGCGGGCATACCGCGCGAATCCTGGGGCGCGGCCTGAAAGACGCGATACCGGCGCGCCGGGCCGTTCCTCGGCAGGGCCTCGAGATCCTGCATGGCGCTCTTGGTGCCAGGCGCGGCGGCACCGCCGGTGCTGCGGTTGACGTCGCCGTTGCTGCGGGCGAAGAAGCCGGCGCCGGACTGGTCCTCGCACAGCTCGAGCAGGGCGGCGACGTTGCCGCAGCGGTAGCAGTAGTTGGGGGCGGACCAGACGGTGACGATGCTCGAATCGAACATCTCCTTGAAGCCCTCCATGACGAGCTGGTGGGCGCGGGCAATGAGGGAAATGTCGTTGCGGTGGTTGAAGACTTTGACAATGTCAGCGCCAAACAAGAAACCGGCACCGCGGGGCGAGAGACCCCAGCCGTCAATGTCGTCGGGGTCGGACCACAGCAGGTCGCACATGGCGCCCTCGTGGGGCACCTCCTGTTTCCTGTCGAGCAGGCGGATCTTATCGACGCTGTCGACGAGGGGACTGAGGCCGCCGTGGACGCAGAGGACGGCGCCGCTGGGGTTGCCGACGCTGCCGCCGCTGCTCCCTGAGGCGCCGCTGCCGGGGGGCCCCGTCTTGTCGCCGGCCTGGGGGGCGTCGGGGTCGGGCTCTCGCTCGGGCGTCGGCAGGCGGCCTGTGACCCTGTGGAACCTGCTGATGAGGTTGCCCGTCTGGTCGCACACTTCGATCTCGATCTGGTCGTCGATGGGCTTCTGTCCAGGGCTCGGCGAGAGCTGCTGGGAGGTGCCGAGGACGATGGCGCCGAGAGCGAGGTAGTCGAAGACGTCACAGCAGTAGCGCCAGACGTTGGCGGAGCCGTATTTTCGCATGCACTCGTCGTAAAAGCCGTAGACTGTTGTAATTTGTCGGGACTCGTGGTTGCCCCGGATCAGCGTCATTCGGTCGGGGTAGCGGACCTTGAGGCAGAGGAGGAGGAGGAAGGATTCGAGGGAGTAGAAGCCGCGGTCGACAAAGTCGCCTGGGCGTGTCAGCATTGGCAGCAGGACAGAGCAGCAGGGCAGGGCAGGGGACTGACCCATGAAGAGATAATTTGTGTCGGGCACATCGCCGCCGACGCGGAAGAGCTCCATCAGGTCGTGGAACTGGCCGTGGATGTCTCCGCAGATCTGGGAGGATTAGAACCCCTCATAAAAAAAATAAAAAAAATAAACCCCGAAATAAGCCCAGGCTCCCGCTATGCATACCGTAACAGGCGCCGTGACGGTGACGACGTTGCCCTCTTCGATCAGGAGCTCTCGCGCCTTGTGGCAGAGCTGGCGGACCTCGGCCTCGGGGATCGGCCGACACGCGCGCAGTTGCGCGATGGCCCTGCAAGTACACTCAGTCAGCGGTCAGCGGGTTGTGATGCGAGGGCGCCGCCTGTGGAGAGGCGGGAAAGGGAAAAGAAGCATGCGTACCGGTCAAGGTCGCTCATGGTGGGAGGGGCTGGAGAGCCTCGGTCTGCGATGGAGGTTGTCGCGATGATGTCGATCTGGGTTGGTCGAGAGACTCTGGGTCAGAGACGGGTGACTGGCGAAGAATGTATGGAAAGTCTGCAGCGGGGCTATGTTGATGTCGTGCGACCAAGCCAGATGGCGACGTGCGACGTGCGATAGAAGCTATGATGGGGTTTGGCAGAAATCTCCGTCGTTTGTCGCGTGTTCGCCAAAAATCGGAGAGTGCTGGGATGGAGCAGGCGCGGAAAGGCCCAAGCAGCCATCATGACCGGCCACAGGGCAATTAGCGCAGCGGGAGCCCTGGAGCGCGCTGAATGCCCCGGAGGGCGCTGGATGCCCCGCTGAATGCCCCGGAGGGCGCTGCAGGATGCTGCGCCGTGCAGGTCCCAGCAGGCGCAGGTCGAGCCTCGCACATGCAGTCAAACTCCGAGGTACGTACCGGTGCCTTTAGGAAAGATCCACCCTAGAACCACCACCAATCGGACGCCGCATTGATGCGATGACTTGTGATTCCACTTTTCTCACGGCCACGGAGCCAGTCAACGTCACGCATCGCCCAAAGCCGGTCGGTCGTACTTGCATCGTCGCGCGACAAATTTGGCTGCTTCGGTCCTTCCTCGACGCCGGCAACCCGTGTGCCTTCAACAGCCTCGCCATACCTTCCCAACGCTCATCCGCCCCTCACTCCGGCTGGCATGCCGTGGCCATAGGTGAGGCACCATCGATTGATCCATTGGCATCGCAGAGACCATTGGCATCGCAGAGACCATTGGCATCGCAGAGAACACTCATTGACCTCGCCAGCAACGGCGAGACAAGCTCCTCCTACCCTCGACTCCGACTCCCGACACGCCACCACGACGACACATCCATACGACACACACATCATGCCACCACACCTGCATCCCAGGTCACGAATGACCTCCTCCCTCTTCGCCACCACCGTCGTCGCCAGCTTCTTCGTCGTCGGCCTACCTCACATCCTGCCCTGCCCGGCACCACGCGTCGCCTACGCCGACGGCGAGGTCGTCGTCGGCGAGGACGGCAAGAGGAGGCGCCGCCGTCGCCGCGACAATCCGCCCGAGATCAAGGACGGCATTGTCCACTTTGACCAGACCCCCGACACCGCCGCCGTGAGCTGCTCCAAGGACGACAGGGCGAGTCGAGAGTGTCCCGTGCCCAGGCCAGGGGGCATGCTGGGCGAGTGGCTAGGCTTTCACGCAGAGAAGAAGGTCGACCAGAGGACAAATTGATCAAAAATAAATCCTTCCGGAAAATGGCAAACGGTGCACGCAATGTGAGAGCAAGAAAGAGTGTGGCTCCTGTCGTCTGAAAATCGAGCTGCCGCCACAAAGTGCCATCCGAATCGCCCACGCCTCTCGTCTGTGTTTTTTTTTCTCTTCGTCCCCTTTCGCCATTATGCCACGGCATTAGTCCAATTCGCCACGGGACAGTCGAACACGTTTCAAGAATCCCCCCCCCTGGCGAGCCCACGTTTCTCTTTTTGCCATTCCGGACGATCGTGGTCGATGACACGTCGGAGTGCCCCCTGTATGGGGCGACAGGGGTGGGGGGGGGGGGAAGCGTCAGGGGTCATCCAGTTAAGCATATCGTCGATCGTCCCGTCAACAACGTCCCGACCATCAGCAAACATGGACACGACTGAGCCCCTTCGTCGAAGACATGCCGTCTGATGCTGGCAGGTGGCGGAGCTTGCCGGTGGCTGTTTTCCTGCGAGATCTTGGCATGTCATGGGCTTGCGCAGCTTGTTTTGCTGCTTTGCCGACGCCCTTGCCAACACGCAAGCAGGCGAAACGATCCTCGCGATGAAACCGGCAGCCCACGCCTTCCTTGGATTCGCGTTGGCGATGCCCGGTCGATAACTGAGCCAGGCCCTCTCGAGGGCGGAGGGCGGAGGGCGGAAGGGCGGGAGATGCTGCGCGACTGGTTGCATGCCTGGGTAGACAGGCTGTAGAGTAGCAAGGGCTGTTTGGTCTTGGTCAAGTCTAGCAGTGTGACGAAAATAGTGTAACGAATACGAGATGTAGGTATATAAGACCGTGGTCTGCCTCACGTTCAATGCTCTCTTCTCCTTCTACAACTGCAGGACTGTGTCTCTCTCTTCAACTTTTTTCTCTTCTTTCACACCAGAGGTTCGTTGTTTTTCTCAATCCCTAGAATAACCACTTCAAGAAAGACAGACTTGCTAACCGTGACAGCTGTGCTCTTTTTCCGTCTCTCCCTCTTCCTCCATTTTTATCTTCCTTTACTCAAATCATCCACTCCTTGAAGCCAAGCCAAAGGTATGTGACTAAAAACCCCCATGTCCTCGATCTTCACACACAGTCTGACAAGTCCCAGCTCCATTCATTCCAACCACCCACCCACCATGAAGTCCTGGACCATCGTTCTCGTCGCCACTGGCCTGGCGTCAGCCCTCAGCATCCCCCGCCCCATCGACGCCCGCGCCGACTTTTCCATCGCCATCCAGCAGGCTGGTGCCGCGCAGCCCGCCGCCGGTAAGGCCATCGCGCCTGCTGCCGGCCAGGCCGGCGAGGAGGCGGCAGTCGGCGAGGGCGAGGGCGAGGCCCCCGCCGTCGACGAAGGCCAGGACGAGGCGGCCGCTGAGGAGGGCGCCGAGGCGCCGCCTGCCGAGTCGTCTTCGCCCGTCGAAGAGGCTGCTCCCGAGGTGACGGCGCCGCCCGCCGAGGGCGAGGCACCTGCCGAGGGCGACGCTGCCGCGTCCGAGAGCCTGGCCGAGTCCACCACCACCACCGAGGAGGCTGCCCAGGAGACGGCACCGCCGGGTGAAGGCCAGGATGAACAGAACAACGACGACGACAACAACAACAACGACAACAACGACGAGAACAACAATGATGGAGAGAACGGCCAGGGAGGTCGCGGCGGTAAGAACAACGACGACGACAACAACAACAACAACAACGACATCATCGACGAGATTCTCGGCGGCGGCGGGCAGGGACGTGGCGACAGGAAGGGCCAGCAGGCGGCGCTCACGCAGGCCATTGTCCAGCTGACGCAGGCCATGGGTCTCGGCGGCATCCTCAACCTCAACGGCCTCGCCAACATTGGCGTCGGCCAGGAGCTCCAGCTGCTGCTCCAGCTGCAGCAGATTGCGCAGATCCAGTCGGCGGGCTTCATCACCCAGGTCGACATTGTGGGACTTCTGCAGCAGAACCAGCTATTTGGTACGTTGGGCACGCAATGCAAGCCAGTGTCACCTGTTTCACCCTTTTTGCTAACCTCGTGACCAGGAGGCCGTGGAGGCATTTTCAAGCGCCAGGAGGAGGTGCTCGTCAGCAAGGCGTAGAAGAGTAAAGGAATCATAAAAGGAACCCAATTGGAAGGGGGTTTCAAGACCTGGGAAAGCTTGCGCAAAAGGGGTTACTGGGTTTTCTTTCCCTTGGCAGGGAAGTCCGGGCCTCGTGCCGAGCGGTACGTGATGGAGGGGATTTCTGGCTTGCCAGCCTGAGTGAGACAGACATCCATGTTCAATAAAATAATTCCTATGCTATCGGTCCTCGCCTGTGGCTCTTCTTGTGTTGGGTGCTGCTGTTCGTTTGTCCAAGCACTGGCGCTGAAATTAGGAACCTTGGCGAGTTTACTTGGCCAGCGAACCTATCGACGTCGAACTGCAGTTGCGTGCTTTGGTCATTCGCAGAGTACGATGTATTTGTAGGGTGTACGCCATGCACGAGCATATCCAGATGCCATTGTATGCCATCAGAATCAGACGCTGGAAACCAAACGCCAGATTCCGTAGACACTAGATGCATCGTGAGTGAAACCAGGCATTGCCCTCTGCCTCGAGAAACAGGCCCACCAGAGACATGCACGGTCTCAAGGCCGTCCCAAGTCGTCGTCACCATGTCTGCCATCCCATCTGACGAAGAGCTGACAGACGTGCCCGTAAGGCGACATCAGCCTGGAGGCGCCACCAGCCTGGCCGAGCCAAGACACTGTCACGTTCGTCTTGTCAGAAAGCTGCCCGGATGCCCCCAAGCTCCGGGCCCAGCACAAGCGCCAGCGTCAATGCAAACTGTGCATCATCGGCGGCCTGTGACGGTCTGAGGGAGGTGCTCGTCTTGGTCTGTCGCTGGCCGCTCGGACGCATGACAGGAGCAGCCAGATCCGACACGGGCGGGGTGACAGACGTGCAGGGTTGATGTGCATGCCTCTCGCAGGGGGGGGGGGGGCTTCTGTGTGCAAGGCGAGGTGGTCGGATTGCCCTCGGGCGTGTGCGCATGTCGCCAAACCTTACTTGAGCCTCTTAAGGCGCGTCAACCCTGACCCCTTCTCTGGTGTGTTTGGTGTACCAAGACGCCCACCACGCCCAAGACCTCCGAGAGACGCGGCTCTGCAACTGCAAACAGGCTGCGCCTTGACCTCGACACCTGCATCTACCCCACATGGAATCCGACGTTCACGTTTCTTCGAACCAGTTCCTGATAGTTCTTGGCCGTCTTGGGGCGTCGTGTCCGAGTCACGCCTTTTGGGGCCAGAGAGCATCTTTGACAGCCTCGGCCAACGTCTTTGACCGCCTCGGCCAACATCTTTGACCGCTTCGGCCAAGCAGCAGGGACAAAGAGGAAGGAATCAGAAAGAAAACCATCGTCTGGTGTTTGACCATTCCTGATCCTCAGTCATCAATCAGCATTGGCAAATGAATCGCGCACACTCTTTCGTCGTCTGATATCGTCAAGGACCTCCCCAAACCGGTGCGACTGTCCTGTACACATGTGCCTCTCTGCTATATGTCAACGTCACACTCTCACCCGCGCATCGAAAAAAAAACTCATCAGACGGCCAGCCGCCCAGACGCCGATCCCGCTGTTCCCACCTCACCCTGAGGAAGACCTCTCATCCGGTTCTTGGCTTTTCCTCACATCGTCTCGCCGCTGCCGGATGTCCCAGCTATCCCCCCGTCTTCTCCTGTCGTCATTGGACCTGCCTCGCGTGATCAACAGGAAATCCCGCTAAATCCAGTCTTCGTTTCCCAGATAGACTTAAAAGATGTCCATCCACAACCAAGTGCCCCCCGCCCCTGGCCTTTCATGCGGAGCTGAGCCCCTTCGGCAACGCAGGTCCCGTCCCCAGGATGGCACGTCGTCTCAAAGCGCTACCCTCCCAGCCCTGCCGCCACTCCTGGTTCTGCTCCTGGTCCTGCTGCTGCCACCTACCTGCAGTGCTGGGGCAACCATGTATTATGTTCCTTGGCTGTTTGTACGGCACTTGGGACGATGATACGTCTGTCCCTCGTGAGCAGCTCTCCCCCCCGTTGCGCCTCACAAGATGCCATCCGACTGGTAAAGGTGCCGCGGCATGCGCACGGAGAAATGTATCGTCCCATGCCAGGCCTGCACTGAGCCCCATGATGTGACCCCTTGCCCTCCCCTGTCGATGTTTGACTGAGCCTAATTTTTGTGTATGGGCAGGCAGGGCCAAGGCTGGTTCGCGATGGACACGGATCTCCCTCAGAGCAATCTTCCGAGGGGAAGGGGAGGGTGGAGGGGCAACCGTGCCAGCCGCCTCGTCTGTTGCCCGAGATGCCATCCTTGGCATGCCTGATATATAAGAGGTCGTCCCGTCGTCGACAATGCCGTCTTCTTTTTTGTTTTCTCATCCCACAACACAATAATCTGGTCCGGTCTCATTCCTTCTCATACTTTTCCATTCTTTCTCTTCAGAGGTGAGTCTCCTGGATGATCTTCACCAGCCTCCAGCCAAACATCCCCTTCTCCCTCCTGAATATTCTCCGACTAACAAACCACCTTCAAGCTGTGCTCGTTGTTCACTTCACTCCCTTCTTCTTCAAAGATACCCTGAACACCCAGAGCTGTGCTCATTCCTGTCTTGTGTCCCATAACTCTAATTCCCTACAACAAAGAACCACTCACTACCAAACCAACCACACACTCCCTACCGCCAACATGAAGTTCTCCACCATCATCGCCGCCGCCATGGCCACCTTCGCCGCCGCCGCCCCCGTCGCCGACTCCAACGCCGCCGCCTCGACGACGTCGCTGCAGTCCCTCGAGTCCCGCGCCGTCTTCGACCTGTCCCAGCTCAACGGCCTGCAGGGCTTCCAGAACGTCGACCTCAACTACCTGCTGCGCCTCAACAGCGTCGACCTCAACCTCTTCGCCCAGCTCGGCCAGGTCCAGAACTTCAACCTGCTCAACTTCCAGCACCTCTTCAACGTCCAGCAGTTTGACGTCCTCGCCCTGCTCCAGCTGCAGCAGCTCCAGACCCTCCTCGCCCTGCACGGCCAGGGCGTCTTCAACGGCCTCAACCTCGTCGACCTGCGCCTCGGCGTCCTCAACCTCGGCCTCGTGGGCGGCATCCAGGGCGTCAACCTCGCCCAGTTCATCGCCGGCGACGTCATCCCTCAGGTCGCGCAGATTGCGCAGCAGCCCAGTATGTAGCCCTCTTCCTCCCCCCGCCTCCTTGCCACAATGGTCTCGCCAGCTTGAATCACGACTGACAATGCCGTAGCAAACTTTGTCGTCGTCGCAAAGAACTAAGCTGCAGGGAATTGATGGTGGTGTCCACCGATCCGAGCATCCCCCTTCCGGCTTTCCCGGCCGGATCACGAAAGAGTAGAGGGCTCCGGGTCGGTGCAGAGGGCTTGTTTGGCAGTGGTAGCATTACGAGTTGTTGTCGCTGGTCGAGTTAATGGTTCACACGGGCAATGCGGTGCATCTGTCATACTCAGAAAGGGGGAGCATGAAGTGGGAGAGAGAAGAAGATTTAGATGTCGAATCGAGCATCTTCAGGACCTGGTCAGCGTTGCCTTGAGCTTGCGGCTCGGCCTCTGGCCTGACCTGAGGGTGCGGATGAGAATGAATGAGAGCCAAAGAAATTACCAGAACAAACCGTCCCTCCTCTGCAACGTGCTACCAGCTATTGGCTCAATGTACGTACACGTGTATTCATGCACTCTGGGTCGCGCTGCATCGCGCCATCAATACAACCAGATCTAGCCCTGGCGAAAGAGTGCGACTCACCAGATCCGGCGCGCCTGCTGAGGCCATTCGCATCAGCTATTGCAAGAAAAGAAGCTAAATGTTCCAGCCACATGGCAGAGCCGTATCCCAGGCTTGCTGAGCCCTCCCGTCTTCCTAAAACGAAGAAATCCAGACCCTCGGGTTCTGGATCCTTGGGCAACAATGGGGTATCCCGTCGCCAGCGACACTCAAAATCGTTAGTCTGCCCATTCAGGATAGTCGCGCCTGAGCAGGCAACGCCTAGGTGAGAAATATTGCCAAAGGCGTCCTAGCACCCGCATCTGATCGGGCTCAACAGTCTGAATTGGTTCAGGTGCCGCTGGCGTTCTAGATTCAGGTGTGCTCTTCAACAACGATGGGACGAAGCCGCTTCAGGGCAGGTCGTGAGGCCAATGCACTAGCCATGGCTTCCAATCTGGTGTCGTCCAGTAGCCATGAGGCTCAGTTAGGCCGGTTCCAGGACAATGGCACGGCCACGACGAATTACAGCTGAATGACGGACAGAATTGGCGTCAGATTGGTCAAATGGACACCTTTCGCGGCCCGGGCCCAGATCCAGCCTGAGGAAACTGAATGAAAAAAAAAAAAAAAACCCCCCCGTGCTGCATCAGTGAGCCACGAGTCAACGGTAGCCTTCTTGCCCTGCACAAGTGCGGCTGATATTGCAGCTTCGTCCGATACAAAAAGCGCCACTGCGGCGCGATATGGGTTTCCTGTACTCAAGGTCGACGGCATTCACGTCGTTAGTCGGCCATGACAACCGGAGGATTACAATTACTGCCGAATGAGACCTGACATTAGCGTGAGGTGTGTGCTGTGTCAGTGTTTCTTCTCCTCGTTCCCGAACGGGTTTCTCGCTACACATTCAACTGTGAGAACTTGTCTCACCCCCCAAAAACCCGGGTCTTTGGCGCTCGTGCTGGCTTGCTCGGATCTCGATGCCCTCATGTGGCGCTCGCTAGAATCGCAAAAAAAAAAAGTAGGTACCCTCACAACGTTGGCCGGTCGCTATTCAATGTCAGGTAGGTTTTGGATGGCGCCCGTGAACAAGGTCTGCCGATGTCTAAGTAGGAGGGTCAAAGTTTGGACGAAGGTGCTAGGTGACACGGTACACGAGCTGCTGGAATGTGCCCTACAAGAGCCCGCTGACACGACTGGCGTTGCTCGGAGCTTTGGGTCGGAGTTGATGGTGATCTGCCCGCAAGGCCCGGTAGTAAGACCCACGATGGAGACTAGGATTTTTAGCGAAAGATTGTGTTGGATAGTGGGGCGAGGGGTTTTCCAACATGTGCACAGTTGGTGATGCATTGCTGTTTGCGTTTGAGCATGGTTCGATGCGACGTCGGTCCCGAGCCTGGCTTCCGTGTCGAGTCACTCCAGCTCAATCTTGCGTTGCACTTCGCCTTTGAAGCCACGTTGAGGCTACTGGGTGAGAGTTGAGTTACTCCGATATCGAGTTTATGTGAACCCTGGCTCATGCGACTGCTGTGCATCGTGTTGCGTCTCTAGTACAGAGTTCAACTGCATGACAAAGAAGGCGGTGACGAATGCAGGTAGGCGATTGCGGCCGTAGATGCCCAACCAGTGGTCAGCGAACGTGGGCTCTACTGTCCTGAGCACGATGAACGGTTTCTTCTCCCTTGGGTGACTCTCTGCCGAGGAAAGGGACTTGCGCTCGTCGGGCCAGACAAGATGCAAGTAGCGGTTGTTGATGCAAGGCCGACAGTTGTGTCTTGCTGTGTCTGGAGGAAGTGAGAATGTTCTTTCGAGTCGGTCCCAATTGGGACGGCTAACCCCAATCCGATGCACCATGCCTTGTCATAATTTCTTTGTACCGCCGATGTGGTTTCTTTGTTGTGAGTCTTTGTTGTGAGCTGAGAGACGGCTTTGTGATCCTCAGCCCTAGCAATGGCGTTACGCAAGACATGTGCTGGCTGGTTGACTGGTCTCTGTGGTAGAAAGGGCGTCGAAAATCTGCCTATGGGCGTCGTGGTGGTGGCTTGGCAGCCCGTTAGTGGGCTCGACCTGAACGTGCTGAAGTCTGGAAAGTCTCCTTGGTCTCGGTATCTGGGGAAAGCCGCTCACTTGTCCGATTTTCGTTTTCGCTGAATCGCTGAATCGCTGTTCGACTGTTGACTGCGTTGTGGAGATGGGACAAGCTAGTTCGAGGGCGACGAATTGATCGGCACCAAAAACCCGCCTGACGGGACTCGCGGCAAGGAAGACGAATGCCAGACATCCGATAGTTCGTCTCTCAAGTAGGAGCGAGTGGATTGGTGTCGCACTGCCCTTGACGCCAGTGTGTGTTTGTGTGTGTGTGCATCTCGGTATAGGCTTTGCCCAGAATCAAGGGACCTGCCAATGCACATCGTTGACTGATCCCAATCTCCTGCGCCATCGCTGGCATACATGTACAAAGGCCTCTCAAGGTTCAGGGACAGATGCGACATCATCATCGCAGATGTGGCGCCGCTGGGGTTGAGCTCGAGAGGCAGGGATCGAGGGTGGAGAGGAGCTCTTGTTCCTGAAAGTCAATCAGGCAGTTTACTGTAGGAACACACATGCTTGTCAGTTTGTAGAGCACAGCGTTGCCTTATTTGCCTGTCCTAAGGATGGGGGACGTACGTCCATGGCGATGTCATCAGTTCATGCGTCACGCTACCCATTTCCCTGATTGGCGAAGGCATGCCAACGGGAGGTCAGTGATTGATTGGAGATGATGACGAGGTGCCTGTGATGAACAGCGATCATCGGACGAATTGTCAGGTCGCTGGTGATGGTGGTGGTCACGGTGCATGTCTTTCTGCAGTGTCTGTCTCTGTCTCCGTCTCTGGCTGGCTGGCTACGTACCTACCTAAGGTACCTACCTTACCTTACCATTGCTACCTTCCTAGGTAGCTTCTCACCTGCTTTGTCTTTGTGGTAGCTCTTGCAGCCCTGAATCAGTATTGTGAAGGGACGGGACTTTAGGTTGGCAAGAGTGATCTGATATCCTGCCCCTGACGCCACGCCTGCCCCATCGTCACTCTGCACCGGGGCAAACCCTTGGCGCCAAAGAGGCCCTGTAAAGTTCGGTGCTTGTCCTCTGAAGGGGGTCCCCTGGCTGGGCCCTGGATCCATCCACCTGCCGGCTGCGCCATCACCGCCATGGCCAACCGAAAATATGGCTGTTTCAGGGCACTACCGCAGGGTACCTTCGGTCATGCGCGGTGAACGCAGAGCATCGGGTACACCCGCGTACCATGCTTGACCGCCGACGCACTACCCCCATCGAGAATCACAACTCACAGTGGGCTTCAGCCTCTCCTCAGCACGCCTTTGACGTGCTCGCGCTCACTTCTCCAGCTCGGGCTGTGGGCTCTCGGGCCAGGGGGCCTAAGGCCTTGAGTCTTTGAGAGGGGAGGGCCCCAAGGGCCCTCTGGCCGTGGGCCTTGCACATTGTAGTAGGTGCATCGGACCAGGAGCTAACCCGGGGCCTTCGTGGATCTCCATCCCCTTTCTTCCTTCTCTCAGCCAAGCAAGAGCTCGGGTCATTTTCCTCGTGTTTCCTCTTCCCCTAATAAAGCAGCTCTCAACCCCCTCCCAATCCACACCCCCCTCCGAACAAGGCCACAGATATATATATATACCACCGAACCTCCCCCTCCCCCCCGGGTGCAGTCGACCGCTCCGCAGCTCTACCACATTATCCTTCGAATTCAGCCTACGGGAAAATCGTCAATAACCAGAATCCATAGTCGTAAAGCTTTCGCCACTGACTGGAGTCTGACCACACGAGCCTTGCTTGATCCGTTCTGGGGCGAAAATATGAGCAGTGTCTCAGTGCGGGCACCACGTTTGAGGATTGGAAGAGTCGACCCTGTCGTGCCACCACCGCAGGCCCAGCCATAGGCACTCACGTTCAAAAGAAAGTTCGGTCATCATTGGCAAAGGCTCTTCTGCGAGTCGGTGTGTGACGGGAACGAACCGAACCGAAACATTCACATCCATACATCTATACCTCCGTCCACCTGTCAGCCAGCCTCTCAGCAGCCAGCGTCAAAATGGGCAACATGGCACGAGACGCCGCGGTTGTCTCAGACGACGACTACGAAGTCGAGGACATGTACTTCACCTACCGTCCGCTGTCGAACCTCCCCACACCACCGCTGTCCTCGCGAAACTCTTCAGCCGACCACAGCCCCAAGGCTTCTTTCGACGGGCTTGACGCCGAGCTGCTCCAGGACAAGTACCTCGGTATGCGCACCTGCCTCCCAACATGCCTGATTCGGTTGTGTACTGACAAGAGCGTCTTTGCAGGCCCTGCCGTTCATCTTATCAACCTCGTCCCCACCTCGGCATCTCTCCGCACGCCCTCCACCAGTGCTGTCCAATCGCTCCTTGCACGAACCGCCCTGCCTCTCGAGTCGATCGCCCTCGCATCCTGCATCCTCGACTCTCTCAACTCCAAGTTTGCCCTCGCCTGGCGCCTCTCCTGCCCGCTCATTGCCGATCCCAGCCTGTCGCCTAGCAAGCGCCACTCTCTCGCGGGGCCCTTCTTCCAGCAGCGCCAGATGCACATCGACTCTGTCCAGCCCGAGCTCATCATTCTTGCTGCGCTGGTCATAGCCGCCAAGTTTACCGAGGACCAGCAAGACCCCACTGCATACTACTGTGCCTCGTGGGGACGCAACATTTGGTCCTGCGAGCAACTCAACGTCACGGAGCGTTGCATCTGCGAGAACCTCAACTGGCGCATCAAGCCACTCGCTGACGACGAGGACCTGATTACCGAGACGCTGGTCGATATGCAGCTCGCCGCACGGCACTACCGGCCGGCCCCACGACCTGTGCAGAAGAATGCAAGTGACGGAAGCGGCCACAGCAAAAGCAAGAGTATGAGCGTTGGCACTGCGGTCGTTGGCCTTGGCCTGCAGCTGACTCCTGTCGACACCCCAGTGTACGATGAAGACGGCGGTGGTTCGCCGGCGAGCGACTACCTATCCCTGCCACGATCGGCCACTCTTGGCTCTTTGTCTCCCGTAGGCGAGGAGAGCTAGATCGCGGGCGTTACATTGTGTCGATGAGCTCGAAGCTTAATTTTTTAATGTTGCATTTTTTACGACTCAACTGGTGGCACTAGCGATATGGGGCGAATTCGACACCACGCATGGGATGCGTTTGGTAAAGGCGTTTCGCGTGCATCAAAATGATATCGGGTCATATATGGGGGGTCACATAGTGCACATTTGTTCACCATCATCTTTCTATCGGTTTGGGATCATGGACTCGGAGGCGCGGATCGAGGTTCGGCGTTCTGCGGCATGCACATATGGGGATCGGAACATGGGACGGAGAACCAGCGATTTCCCTCTATACTTTCTTATAGCCTTGCTATTTCTAATGTTTATACTTCAGACCTAACGGCATACTACTTATCTCTGTCCCATTCTTGGGTTTCTCTTCTTGTGAACTCATGAGCCTCACGACGGCCGCATCGTCAGTCCGTCCGAGCTGGCAGGATTCACATGCAAAGCCCAGCAACTGCCGTCCACTCGTCCTCTTTTTTCTTTGTTTCTCTGTTCTACGGGCTCAGCCGGTTGAGTGTCCAGGCCTCGCCGTCCTTTTCGTACACGAAGCGATCATGCAACCGACTGTCCCTGCCCTGCCAAAACTCAACCCGATCCGGCACGATCCTCAGCCCGCCCCAAAACTCAGGCACAGGAATCTTGTCCTCGCCGTCGAACCGGGCCTCCACCTCCTTGACCCAGCCCTCGAGCTGCGCGCGACCGTCGTCCCCGTCGCCCTGGGCCTCGAGCACCTGGCTCTGGCGGCTCGCCCAGGCGCCGAGGCGGCTGCCGCGCACGCGCGTGTCGTAGTACGTCTGGCTCTGCTCGCGCGGCACGCGGTCGGCGACGCCCTCGACGCGGACCTGGCGCTGCAGGGCCTCCCACCAGAAGACGAGGCTGGCGCGCGGGTTGGACGCCAGGTCGGCGGCCTTGCGCGACGTGGCAAAGTTGGAGTAGACGACGTAGGCGCCCGCGGCGTCGAGCTCCTTGAGGTAGAGCGTGCGCGCCGACACGCGGCCCGACGGCAGGTGCGCCGTCGCCAGCGTGCACGTCTCGGGGTGCGCGACGGCGGGCGCCGCCTGCGCCGCCTGGAACCACGCGTGGAACTGCGCCGTCGGCGACGTCGGGTCGAGGTCGCCGCGGTGCAGGGCTGGCGACGTGAACTGCGCCGCCTGCCCGTGGGCTTCGGACCCTGCGGGGGCGACTGTGCTTGTCTGTCAGGAATGCGCCGACGCGCTGCATGCGATGCGGCATCTAGGTTCGGGGAGGAAAGGGCAAGGTGGGGTGGGAGACGCACAGATGAGCTTCGAGGGGTCGTTCGGCGGGTGGAGGGCCATGGTGAGGGATTTGGAGAATAGGAGTCTTTGCGTCAAACGCATGGAAAACCTTGTTGGAGATGCCGGCGTGTGGCGTTTGGACAATGGTGCGAGTTTGACGATGGTGAAGATGTCAAATTGCGGGATGCAAGCAGTGAAGTGAGCTGTTGCTGGTGGCCGTGGTAGGTAGTGACGATGGTGGGGTGACTGATGACGGCTTGCCATGGAGGGGCAGTGGGGGGGTCGGTAGGGGTGCAATGGGAGGGTCAGTGGGAGGGTCCAAATGGGTTGCACCCATAGACGAGTCACCAAGCTTTCCAGGCAACAAACTAGACCCCCGGAGCATCCTGGACCCCCTTTGTTCACACAACACACATACAACACGATACCACACGATACGCGACATACGCAAACGGACAGAACACACAAACGTATAATCAATGGGTATCTAAAACGCCTCCCAACACATGACGGTCTCATGGACACGAGTGTGATGACCACAAGAAAAAAAGCATACAACGCCTCTCTACCTGAATGTACGTACGCACATACATCAAATCCGGCCAGTATGCAGTTACGCCCACCCAACATGCAGTTACGAGACGCCGTGAGGCACCTGCGGGGTTACTGCTATATACTATGCTAAACAGAGAGAAACCAGATTCCCTAATGTCTTGGTGATCCGGATTCGCACATCAAAAACTTTTTTCACATCATAACCGAATGTCCGAACGCGATCCTGAATGTAACCCAAAAAGTCGTCTAAGGCGCCATAACGAGTGCGAGCAGAGCCATGCGGCAGTACAGGCCGTAGCGCATCTAGTGACTTGATTAGCATGTTTTCCCTCTTCACCCGAGTCCCTCTGGGTGTCACTTACTTGGCGGAAGTACGCCGCCCGCGGGTCCGTGTCCACCTCCTGCGCAATCTCCTCGTTCCTGGGAAGAGGGTGCAGGATGCACATGTCCTTCTTCGCCGACCGCAGCGTCTTGTTGTCGATGCGGTACGAGTTCTTGACGCGCTCGTACTCCTCCACCGAGGGGAACCTCTCCTTCTGCACGCGCGTGCAGTAGAGGACGTCGCTCTTGGAGAGAATCTCCTCCGTGAGCTCCTCCGACTCGCAGGCCAGCTGGCCAGACTGCTTGAGGAAGTTGCGGACCTCCTCGGGAAGCCTGAGCGCCTTAGGCGACACAAGCTGCACCCGAACGCCGTAGTCACGGAGGAGATAGACCAGCGAGTGCACGGGGCGGCCGTACAGCAGATCACCGATAAAGGTGATGGTAATGTTCTGCACGGTTCCGAGCTCCTCACGGATCGTGAAGAGGTCCAGGAACGCCTGCGTCGGGTGCTCCTTGCTGCCGTTGCCGCCGTTGATGACGGGAACAGAGGCGTACTTGCGAGCAACGTCGACGCTGGACTCCTCGGGGTGTCGAAGCACAACGGCATCGCCGTAGCAACCGAGGGTGCGGAGAGTATCCTGGAGCGTCTCGCCCTTCTGCACCGATGAGTGGGACGTCGAAATCACCACAGTACGGCCACCAAGCCTCTGCATCGCAGCGTCAAAGGAAGCGGACGTGCGGGTAGAGGGCTCGTAGAAGAGAGTACAGAGGAGGCGTCCGCGCAGGAGGTTGAGGACACCCTCACGCTGAACACCACGACGCATCTCCTGCGCGACGGTGAACAGGTGGTGCAGGTCGCTGCGCGTGTACTGCGTAACCGAAAGAACGTTCTGATGGCGCCAGGAAGAGGGCTGGGCAATGAGGTCCTGGAGCTGGGAGCCGAGAGCGGGCTGCAGCACCATGGGGGAACCGAGCTCCTCAAGACTCTTCAGCTGGCCGGCCGTGTCGGTAGAACGCAGCTTGGCGGGGCCCGCAGCGAACATGGAAGAACGCCTGTCGCGGGGAGACTCGATGACCTTGTTGAGAGACTGCACGGTGGGCTTCAGAGGGGGGGACATGGGCATGGCGCCGTGAGTCGACATGTCCTGGCCCAGAGGCTCGCTGGGCAGCAGGTTGCCGTCAAGGCAGGCTGTCTTTCCGTAGAAGGTGACGCGCTGCACAGAGCCGCGCATGGTGCGACCCGCGAAAGGAGACCAGGCACCAGCTGAGGGCACCTTGTAGGAGCGGTCAATCTCAACCTCAACGCCAGAGCCAACTTGCTCGTGCAGCTCAAAAATCTGCTTCGGGTTGTCGTAGAGGCGGGTCTTGATGTCGTCAATGGTCAGGCGACCCTCGGTAACTGACGTCAGCAGCAGGGGCAGGACGTCGGCAATACCGACGGCGGCATCGACAGAGTGACCGAGAGAAGTGGCCAGCTGGTAAGGAAGGCTGCCGATGGAGAAGACATCAATGGTATCGAGATGAGACCACAGAGCATCCTGGTCCTGAGCCGTGGGCAACAGGGCACAGCCGGGGAAGTCCTTCTGCGAGAGATAGAGCGAGAAGACGGACACGTCGCAGGTCAGCTTGAGACCCTTCTTCTTGCTGAGTGCAATGAGCCTGATATCATCCTTGGTCGACACAGAGGTGACGTGGATGCGACGATTGTGCAGGCTCGCAAGCAGAAGAATCGAGGCAAGGTCTGTCAGCTTGGCATCGGTGACGATGGGCTTGTGCTCGGGCCAGCTGTCAAAGTGAGACTCAACGGCAGCGACCTTGCTGATGTTGCCAGACAGATGGTTAAATGGGATGAAAAGCGATCCAACCTCTCCAGCGACCTGGCTAATCTGATCGGCGTTGTCCGAAGTAGCCGACACTGACAGATTGTAGTCACAGTAACCTCCGCGACGGCTGGTCTTCTGCGCAACCTTGAGGGTGAGAGCGTCGGTCACGGCACCCTCGACACCGACAGGCATGATGCGAACCATGCTGAAGCCGGCCAGGAGCGAGGCTTTGGTGACCGACTGAAGGTCGTTGGTGCCGGAGGAGGCAATGCCAGGCACGAAAGCCGCGACGTTGATCAGACCAGGCAGAGAGACGGTGCGGTGGCTGGTCTGGAAGTCACGATTGCCGACATTGAGCTCAAAGTGACGAGCAATGGCCTCGACCAGGATCTTGGCGTTCTTGACGTTGGTAACCAGAGGGATCTGGTAGTCGACGGCCATACGTCTGGTCTGGTACCCCTTGCTCATGTAGTTGGCGGGGCGGCGGTACTTGTTGCTGGAAGGCAAGTTGATGTACAGATCGATGGTGTTCTTGGCAAGATGCTGGGTCAGAGAGAACTCGGACCGCTGATCTCCCTCCTCGTCGCCGAGAGCCTCGAGGTACTGCACCGGGATGTTGTGCTCCTGGAGGAAATCGGCAGTTCCGGCCGTGGCAAACAGCTTGTAGCCAAGCTTCTGGAGCTTTTCCACGGAAGGCAGCATCTCCTTCTTGTCCTTGTAGGAGCCCATGGACAGCAGAATGTTGGCTTTGGGGATCTTAAAGCCGGTGGACATGAGGGCCTTGAGGTAAGCCTCGTACTTGTCAACACCGAAACAGGCGACTTCACCAGTAGAAGCCATCTCGACACCCAGAACGGGATCGGCGCCAGAGAGGCGAGAGAAGCTGAACTGGGGCACCTTCACACCGACGCAGTTCTGGGCGAGCGTGGTGGGAGGGTACTCGGTGAAGGGCTGACCAGTGATGGCCTTGGTCGCCATTTCGATGAGGTCAACGCCCATGACCTTGGAGACGAAGGGGAACGAACGCGAGGCACGAACATTGCACTCAATGACCTTGATGTCGTTGTCCTTGGCAATGAACTGAATGTTGAAGGGGCCCGTCACGTTGAGAGCGGCGCCGATCTTGCGGGTAGCCTCCTCAATTCGCTCAATTGTCTCGCGCTCCAGGTCTTGAGGAGGCAGGATGAGGGTGGCGTCACCCGAGTGCACACCGGCATTCTCAACGTGCTCGGAGATGAAGTGTCCAACGACGATACCGTCCTTGGCGACTGCGTCCATCTCGATCTCCTTAGCGTTCTCAATGTACTTGGTAATGACGACAGGGTACTCGCGAGACACAGCGACAGCCTGCTCGAGGTAGTTCTCCAAGTCACGCTCGGAGTAGACCGTGTTCATGGCAGCACCAGAGAGCACGTACGAAGGACGCACAAGCACGGGGTACGAGATGCTGTTGCAGAACTGCTTGGCATCCTCAAGACTGCTGTTCTCCTTCCACGCGGGCTGGTCCACGCCAATCGAATCCAGCATACGAGAGAACTTGTAACGGTTCTCGGCCATGTCGATCATCTCAGGCGAGGTACCGAGAACCTTGATGCCAGCACGGTAGAGGGGCAGTGCGATGTTGTTGGGCGTCTGCCCACCCATGGCTCCGAGAACACCACCTGCATTCTCCAGAGCGTAGATGTCGCATACCGTCTCAAGGTTGATGTTCTCAAAGTAAAGCTTGTCGGCCTCGTCATAGTCAGTCGATACCGTCTCTGGGTTGTAATTGACCATGATAGTCTTGTGGCCAGTCTGGCGGAGAGTGCGAATGGCACGAACAGAGCACCAATCGAACTCGACGGAGGAGCCGATACGGTACACACCAGAACCAAGGACCATGATGCCGTGGTCGTCAAAAGAGACATCGCTCTCCGAGGCGTTGTAGGTGAGGTAGAGGTAGTTGGTGTGGGCAGGGAACTCGGCCGCGACCGTATCGATCTGCTTGACGAAGGGCATGATGCCGCCTTCCTCACGCATCCTGCGGACACCAATCTCGTTGGTGCTCCAGAAGTCAGCGAGCTGCTGATCAGAGAAGCCGAGCCTCTTGGCCTGAAGGAGCAGGTCGGGGCGCTGCGTGATCTGGGCCATGTTGAAGCCGCCCATCTCCTTGGCGAAGTTGTTCAGACCCATGAGCTTGTTGAGGAACCACTTGTCAATCTTGGTCAACTCCCAGATCTTCTCGACAGAGTAGCCAGCGTGCATGGCATTGGCAATGGCAAACAGACGCTGATCGGACGGGGTCTGGAGCTCGTCATCGAGGGACATCAGAGCCTTGGTGGCGCCGAAGCCCAAGTTATGGAAGTCGATGGCACGAATAGCCTTTTGAATGGCCTCCTCGAAGGTCCTGCCAATGCTCATGACTTCACCAACACTCTTCATAGAGGAACCGAGCTGAGTGGAGACACGAGTGAACTTCTTCAGATCCCAACGCGGCATCTTGACGACAACATAGTCGAGCGAGGGCTCGAAGCAGGCACAAGTGGACTTGGTGACGCTGTTGGCGATGTCCTTGAGGGGAATACCGAGACCAAGCTTGGCAGCAATGAAGGCAAGCGGGTAACCAGTCGCCTTGGACGCAAGGGCAGAAGACCTGGACAGCCTTGCGTTGACTTCGATAATGCAGTATTCCCTTGAAAAGGGGTTCAGCGCATATTGAATGTTGCACTCTCCGACAACACCGAGGTGACGGATAACGTTGACGGCCGTTGTTCGCAGCATGTTATAGTCTTCATCAGACAGAGTCTGCGAAGGAGCGACAACGATGGAATCACCAGTGTGGATTCCAAGAGGATCGAAGTTCTCCATGTTACAGACCGTGATGCAATTGTCTTGTGCGTCACGAACGACTTCGTACTCAATCTCCTTCCAGCCCTTCATACTGCGCTCAATGAGGACTTGAGGACTGGCAGCAAAGGCCTTGTTGCAAAGATCGAGCAGCTCAGCCTCGTTGTTGGCGAAACCACTTCCAAGGCCGCCGAGAGCATAAGCGGCACGGACGATGACGGGGAAGCCAATGTCCTTGACAGCCACCATGGCCTCGTCAACGGTACAGGCAGAAGCGGACTTGGCGCACTTCTCACCAATCGAGTCCATGCTGCGCGCGAACAGTTCACGGTCCTCGGTGGTGATGATGGTATCAATGGGAGTACCGAGAACCTTGACGCCAAGGGCCTCGAACTCATCCTTCAGCTGAATGCCAACCGACAGAGCAGTCTGGCCACCGAAGGTGACGTAGATGGCGTCAGGATGCTCATACTGGATAACCTTTCGCACAAACTCGGCGTTGACAGGCAGGAAATAGACCTTATCAGCGAGACCCTTGGAGGTCTGGATGGTCGCAATGTTCGGGTTGATAAGCACCGTGTAGATGCCTTCCTCCTTAAGAGCCTTGATGGCTTGACTACCAGAGTAGTCGAACTCGCCGGCCTGGCCAATGCTGAGGCCACCGCTTCCGAGGACGAGGACCTTGCGAGGGTGGACGCGAGGGTGCAGGCGCTCGTTCTCCTCAATGGTGCCGCCAGGGAAGCTGATCGGGGAGTTGAGAAGGCTGGCATCGGTGGCGCAGTCGGTGATGGCCTGAATGAAGACATCGAAGAGGTACTCTGTGTCGCAGGGACCGGGAGTGCTCTCAGGGTGGAACTGCACACTGAAGTAGGGCTTGCTCTTGTGCATGATGCCCTCGTTGCTTCCGTCGTTGGCGTTGACAAACAGCTCCTGCCACCCCTCAGTCAGGGAGCTGGCATCGACGGCGTAGCCGTGGTTCTGCGAAGTGATGTGGCACTTTCCAGTGATCATGCTGGTGCAGGGCAAGTTGTGACCACGGTTGCCGAACTTCATCTTGGTGGTGCTCGCACCGGAGGCACGAGCCAAAAGCTGGTGTCCCAAACAAATACCAAATACGGGTGTCTTGTTCTGCTGCAGAGCAGCGGCGATGTTCTTGATGGTGACATCAAGCATGGCAGGGTCACCAGGTCCGTTGGAGATGAAGAGACCATCGTACTGGTCAGCAGCAGCGACGATGTCGTGGTCCCAGGGGCACACAAGGACCTCGACGCCACGCTTGAGGAAGCATCGCAGCTGGTTGTACTTCATACCAACATCGACGCAAAGAACTCGGATGGTGCGGCCCGAGGAGTGCTTCTTCAGCGTGACGCTGGCAGGGGGCTTGTAAAGCTTGGGGGTCTTGATGGATACTAGAGAGAAATGAGCGAAAGCTTAATCAGAGTGAATCGCATAAACCTACCCTCAGCCACGAGGTTCTTTTCATTGGGGTTAGACCACTCAATTGTCTCGTACTTGGGAGACGAGGCGTGAGGCGCAAGACCGTTGGCTGTGCCGTTGGTGAGGGTCTGCTTGGTCTCAAGCAGCAGGCGGCCGAGCGTGCTGCCCTCGGAACGGAGGCGCTTTGTGAGGGCCCTGGTATCGATGCCGTAGATAGCGGGGACGCCCTGCTCCTTGAGCCAGGTGCCGAGGGAGGACTCGGCGAGGAAGTGCGAGTAATCCTCGCCAGATTAGGACGCGGCGACGAGGCCGGTTTTGTGAAATCTGATTCGACTCGAAATGGGCGGGTTTTTTTGTGGCCGAGAAGCTCGTCCATAGTCTCCCTCGAAGGAACACCGTAGTTGCCGACGAGGGGAAAGGTGATGACGAGGATCTGACCGCGATACGAAGGGTCTGTCACCGACTCTGGGTATCCCACCATGCCGGTCTGGAAGACGAGCTCTCCAGCGATGCTCTTCTGGGCGCCAAAGCTGTAGCCTTGGTAGACAGAGCCATCGGGCAGCTCGAGGCACATGAGAGGCTCGGTATCAACGCCATTGGCATCGACGAGGCGTGCCGTGGCGGGGGGGAAGGTCTTGCCCGCCATGATTGCTGACTCTAATCGGTACTTCGACGTGGGGCAATTCTGAAAGGTATGACGGAGGCGGGGCAGAGCTCGCTCGCCGCGAGAGCGGGTGGGAGTAATGGAAGAAGTATGAGAGCTCTAAGGGTCAGAGTCTCGGGTTTGAGGTTTTCCTGGTCTTCCCAGGGATCATCTGCAGCCAGAGATCAGAGGGAAGGCAATAGCAGATCAGAGGATCATGGTGAGGAGGAGGAGGAGAGGAGAAGGAGGAGAGAGAACCGAGAACGGCCACTGCCAAAAACTTTTTTTCTTCTATTCCAGTTCTGCCAGCCTTCGCCTCGCCTGGGCCTAAGCCCCTCTCTTAGCGGGCAGACCTGTGTGCTTGGGGCCTCGGGATTGGCCAATTCCGCTTGCCTGACGCATGCGGCCCACTAAGCTCGGCCCAATTGCGCTGCACGATTCACTGTGCTACAGTGGACGGCGAGCCGGGCTACCAATTAGAGGGGCTCAAGGGGCTCTCTTGTCCCTGAAGAGCAAGGCGGTAAGGTAGCCTCGAGTGCTCAGGGCCTGCTGGTAGTACCTGAACCTTAAGGGAGGTGCCTTCCATTTCTTTGGTTGAGGAACCATTTGAGCGAGCTGGGCCTTGTTTGCCGTGGGGGGTCACCACGTCACCTCCCTGGCAGGGATTGAATCTTCGATTGACAACCGCCAGCTCGTTGAGTCCAGCGCTCTCTGAATCGGGTGAGAGGCTTTGAAAATATCGGCTTGCCGTGCGACAGACCATCTCACACTTTTGTTCTGGGAACTCGCATGGATTCTATCTACCAAGACACCTAAAGATTGGTCCGTTGTGGTGCCCTTCGACCTCACCTTGACACGTCGTGCACCGATCTGGCTTTCGATCGCAGCCAGGTCAACTAGCTGCCGCAACAGTGCTCGCACCAAACATATTCAGCGACACTGTAATGCAAAATCGAAGAAGAACGAATACCAAAAAAAAAAAAAAACCTTCACTCTCCGTATGGCATGGCGTCTCCAACACGGGCAGAAATAGCGCAGATCAAAATCAACGCGACAATTCAAAAGTCTTTTTGGCGTGCCTCAAGCCGCGAGTCGCGGTTCCACAGTTTTCCGTTGCTATCCACACCCACACGCACTCCTCCCAGTGTGCATTGCTTCTGCATTGCTTCGATCGAAAGCTCGAGGCTCACGTGCTTCACTGTGATGCGGCCCCGATCGCCCATCATGGGAAGTCTGGACTGTGGTGCCAAAGTTGAGCGTGAGTGTTTGACTTGTGTGACTTGATGTCTCAGCAGCCCATGCAAGCCCGTCTCGTGTTTTCCCCGATGGCTCTGATTCCCCATGTCTTGGAAGCTCCGGAGAATGCAGTACAATGTCAGAGGGCCATAGTTCTTCCAGTCTCCCCCGAAATGGGCACATGTCAACATGATGATCTAGGCTATCGAATTCATTCGCCGTACTGAGCGAAACTTGAAGAACGCTGTTGCCATGATGCTTTTTCAATCAGATGATCGTGGCACACTCCCGTTTCGTCGCACAGCAGCTTGACCCCCATCGAGGAGCACACCCTTCGGAGAGAAGCGTGTGGGATGGTGGTGAGGGGACGTCGAGGCGGTGACGGTGGTGTCCAATCAGACGAGAGCCTGTTGGTCTGGAGTCCCGAAGGTTGTGTGATCTGGGGTTCCATCGAGTATGGCGCGCCCGCATCATTCGCCGAAGAGGACAGCCCGCATCGCCATTGCCAGTAGATGCTTGACATGCTGGGTACTCAGTGCCAAGGTGGTGGGTGTCATGATATCAGCAGACATCAAGGATTCAATGTTGTGGCCGGCGGACGGCACGAACCCTCAGCACGCCTTCGTCTCGTCGTCCGTCAAGGGCCAAAGACAGACCAGTGTTCGGTCGAGTGGCACTCGTAGCCGCATCATGTCACATCGCCCGGTGCAAGGGAGTGCTGCGGCCAGCCGTGCCATTTCTGGCCTGCATCGATGGTCATCGCGATCTTTGATTGGGGTCATTTCAGGACTGGCTGATGGCCACTTTTTAAAGTCGACAGGGACGAGGCCCCACGCACTAGCGATTCAAGCGATTCAAGCCGCTGCTGAGGCCCGTTCTGGCCAGGTTCAGGGCAAGTCGAGGGCAGCCACAGCCAAGCATTTCAAAGCACTGCAACTGCAGCTGCCACTAGGTACAGGGAGGTGCGCGTGAAGCAGGAGCACAACCCCATGTGCTTCAGACCGTGGACCTCGAACCTCCCTGGGGCTTATCGCGTCGCCCTCCACTGTCATCGACCATGTGCCTGAACAACGCCTCGGTCTTCCTTTCCCCAGACAGGTGAGCAGTAGTGCCCACTTCACCGCCTCTTTTGGGGCAAGTACTGTGGTGGCCCCCTCCCATGATACACCATGTCCATGCTGCTGAGTCCGGCTGAGGCTGTAGCTGCACAGAATCGCGCTTCACGCGCATCATCCCCCTCAGACCCCCCACACCAACATGCTGCACCCGAACAAACTGCTTGCCTGCCTCCTGCTGCCAGGTTTCTCTGTCTGTGATCTACCTCACCTTAGTCAACTCCTGAGCTAAGATAGGTACGTTAGTACAGTCGACATAGGTACAGGTAGGTACGTAGCCACAGCAGTTCTGGTATGTTTGGGTCTGTCTTGGGTCCTTGCTCTGCCGTCTGGTCTGTGTCCACTCCTCGCGATCGGTTGCTCCTGCAATCTACGATTCCCACCACACGGTCCGCCTCTCCACTGTTCCTAGGCGGCCCCCCCAAAGTGTTGCTGTATCCACGCCGTCCAACAGAGACTTGCATCGAGTTCAAAATCCTTCCACTCCTTCCTTCTCGCCTGTTCGCTTGTTTTGTTTGTCGTGACGGAGGATCGCGTCGTCTCTTTGGGCTTGCCTCGCGCCACTGCGTTCGTCCCGACTTCCTTCCACAGCTTCACCCCTTATCGTCCATGGAGCTGTGATTCGACCCGATAAGACGAGGTTGCGGGCTGCTTCGCAACCCCCAAGAAACAAGAAAATGTTCACCTCGTTGCTGCGATCCAGAGGTCACAGTCGTCACATCGATGATGATGGGCTACCGACTTCCCCTTCTGCGGGCCCAGCCTTCCGCAAGCCACCCCTTCGCAGACATGCCACGGCAGACTTCACGGAAGCGGATGATGACGACGAGGATTCAAACGACGGCATGGGCGATCAATACGTTGAGGGAGACGAAGAGCAAGACGATGAGGACAATAGACTAGACGACGAGGATGGCGTGCGTCGCTCCCTGCCTGTGCTACCTCTCTTCTCCGCCTCCTATCTCGGTACGTTGCAGCTTTGGCTTCAGCCCCTCCTGCCTCTCGTCATTCCTAGCATCACTAACGCCAATTGCACCACACAGACTCCCTACCGATCTACAACATTACCCATGCGATCCGTGTCGTCGTCCAAGCCCGAACCGAAACGAGTTTAACATGGGAACAACTTCGCTCGCCCCAGGTCTCCCAATTCCTGGTGAAGCCCATGCAGCAGCAGATCCGTACACAACACTTCTCCAGAGCGACACTGTATGCGCTGATGGCAAACTGTCTCCAGTTTCACAAGGAGAGCCAACTGTATCCGGGAAACGCCGGCACGAGCATCACGCGCGCCAAGGTTTGCGAGCTGCTGGCCGTCAAGCTGCTCAAGGAGTACAACACGCGCGAACTGATTGACGCGCTCTCCTATGATTTCTACCCACTCCAGGGCCTGCCTGGCATCCAGCTCCCCGTGACCAATTCCAAAGCAGATGCCACGGCCAAGGCTGGGCTCACGGCCGCAAGGACATCGACACTCGAGGTTGCGATTCGTGCCTCAGCAAAGCACTTCTTGGCACATCCTCTCGTTGTGCAGCAGTTGGAAGCCATCTGGAACGGTGCCATCACCTTCTACTCGTCGGCGGATACACTGCACCGGGGACCACCTTCAACACCAGTTTACCCTCCCAGCAAGAGTTCAAGCAAAGCCGACGACCGGACGCCGCTCCTGGGCGGACATCAGCGAAAGGAAATTGCAGCACAAGCCGTTCCCGGCAGACGGAGCGTCATTCTCTATGATCCGCGCAACGCTTCCTTATTCAAGCTATCACGCCTGCGTGTGCCTCGATACCGATTCTTCTTGTCGACTCTGTCGCTCATGGTCTTGATCTGCCTGTTCCTGAGTGTGCTGGTAGAGCGGTCCACACGAATCACCTCTCTCGAGCTCATATTCTGGTTCTGGTCCGCCGGCTTCATGCTCGATGAACTCGTCGGTTTCAACGAGCAGGGCTTTTCCCTCTACATCATGAGTTTCTGGAATATCTTTGACCTCGGCATCCTCGTCCTCCTCATCATTTACTACTGCATGCGTGCCTACGGTGTCTTTCTCGTGGACCCGGGCCATTGGAACGACCAAGCCTACGATGTGCTCGCCGCCAACGCCATCCTCCTTCTCCCCCGTATCTTCAGCGTGTTGGACCACTACCAATATTTCTCCCAGTTGCTCATTGCATTCCGGTTGATGGCTGTGGATCTGGCTGCCGTACTAGTCCTTGTCCTGATTTCCTGCAGCGGCTTCTTCGTATTCTTTACTCTATCCAAGAATTCCAATGACGCTGGCGAAGTCGCGTACAAGATCTTCCAGATCTTGATGGGCTTCACACCCGCGGCTTGGGATAAGTGGCCGACGTATGGAATTCTCGAGAGGACTTTGATGGGGTTGTTCCTGATCATGTGTCACTTCGTCGTCGTGTGAGTTAAAACAGCAGTTCGGTCATATAGAACTAGGTAACTAACCTTGCCAGCACAATCCTCATCACCGTTTTGACGAACTCGTTCATGAAGATTGCGAGTAATGCTACCGAGGAGCACCAGTGAGGAGCAGCCCTACAGACCGATTATTACGCAAGCTAACGAATACCAGGTTCTTGTTTGCACTCAACACCATCTCTATGGTCAAGAATGATGCCCTATTCTCATACGTTGCCCCCGGCAACATTTGTGCCTGGTTGCTGATGCCGCTTCGTTACTGCATGCCCCTACAGCACTTTGTACTGTTGAACCGGACTATCATCAAAGTTACACACTTTCCTCTGCTGTTCTGCATCTTCGCATATGAGAAGTTCTGGTTGGCATCCAACATTTATGAACCTACCGATCTCGTCGAAAACCCTGGCCGCGGACGTGGGAGACATATGTCTCTCGCCGACCCGGTCAACCGCGGCGCAATGTTCAGCCCCAATGTTCGGGTTCGGGAAGAATCGGTGGTAGGCTTCCAAAAAGACAGGGCCTTGGAGGAAGTGTTCCGGCGAGGACCTGGCATTGCTACCCTCCGAAGCCACAGAAGAAACGAAAGGAGGAAGACACAAAACGCCATCCGAAACTGGATGGAACAGCATGACGAGGTCGGATCTTCCCCCGGCAACCGCGAATGGCCGACTTTGGACAGCAAAGCTGCACGGCCGGACTGGCACCGCAGGTTCAGCATGAATCGAGACTACCGGCCTAACAGGCTCAGGCAGTTTTCTGACCTACGTTCTGCCGCTAGCGATCCAGCAGACATGATGTCCCAGGGGCACCCGGCCATTGATGCTTCCCTTGCTCGCAATGAGAAAAGCTTCAGACGTGGGGAAGAAGTGAAGGACCAAACGGACGCCGACGGTGATGACGAATTGGTCACTAATGATGAGGAGGAAGAAGATGAGATGACCAACGCTGGTGACCACCAGCGAACCCGCTATGAGAGGCATACCGAACAAGAAGACTACTTCACGACAGCACAGGCAACACACTATCATGCCCCGAAAACTTCTTCGCAAGGGTCCAATGGCAAGACACCCATGGCGGGGTCGCCTCGGACTGCCAACAGGCGCGCACTTCATAACCGGACTCTTTCAACGAATACGATACTGTACGCGCCACAGCCATCACGACGAGAACCAAGCGTTTCGTCTGCGTCGCCGCCAGAGCCGACAACCGTCCGCTCACGTCCACTGAGCGCCCGTGCCTCCATCATTGAAGTGCCGTCAGGTAGTGGTCATCGCTCGCCTCGTCGACAGTTGTACATGACTTCAGTCAAGCCCAGACCGATCATGCCGCCGCGGGACTTGGTGCAGACAGCTCCTCACCGAGCTGGGCTTATACCTGTGGAGTCGCGACATAGGCTCGGCGGCGTCCGCAGACTTTCTTCGATTGATCTCAGTGCCATGTCCGATAACACGAATTTGATGGCTCCCGATGATCCGAATGGGGCCGTCCCGTCGAGTTTCCAAACCCAGATGGCCATGGCGTTGATGAAAGACTCACGTCTTGCCGGGGGGCGCAGTGGTGACGCTGCGGATAGGGACCGTATGAGCCGCCTTGTTCTCGCACGCATGAAGACACTCGAAGAGAGTTTCGCAGACGTGGCACGAGAACTACGTGGACTCAAGACGAATTCCAACTCGACAGCGCCGCCGACTAGACACAACTCTTCGGGCGAAGACATTTCGAAAACCTCCCGATCATCTATAGCCGATGCAGCTGGTCGGGATCGCCGGAAAGGGCCAGATGAGGCTCGGCCCAAGATACTCAAAAGGACAACGACTGCCACGAAGAGGCCCGGAAGCCGGAAGAGTATGATGGAGCCCCGCGTGGGGATGACCAAGTCCAAAAATAAGGGCAAGGAAGTGGCTCAATCATCTGATTCGGATGATGGGAGGGCCAGCGACAGAGGTGAAGATGACTTCGCGAAGAAGGGCAGCTCACTCTGAGCACGAGGCAACAGTCTGAGGCGGTTTGGACAATATCCGAGCGCCAAGACGTCGGACATGTGGCCACAGGCCGCCCTGGTGGCGGATTTGCATTGCTTCAGCGAGCATGTAGCGAGCGAGCGAGCGAACACAATGGGGTCATGAACGGCACAGAGGTGGAAGGGGAGACATTGTATTGTACTTGTTTGATATCTGGGTTGTGTTTGCATTTGAAGCCAGACTCTTCAGCCCGCGGGAGGGCTGTTGCTACCTGATGTGTTGGTGTGGGGGGGTTGTAATTAATCGATACCCAATCTTCGACGCCTCTCCAGTCCCAGTCTTGGCCTGTTCTGTTGATTTGTGGATGTGTTCCCTTATTTGCTTTCATTGTTTTGGTTTAGGTAATGTTTCCAGTGTTTACTTGATGATACATATTCGGCGTGAAATCGTTACGATGAGAAAAGTGACTTATAGTTTGTCGGGCATGGAGGCCGAGATGAATAGGAAGGGAGGGGCCGCTATCAGACACCGCCTCCGCTGCGGTCAACGCGTACGTATAGGTCGGGTGCGGCCTGCTCTTTGGATCTCATGGACGAGGACTGGTACTTGACAGTCGCCAAGGCGGCGACGACGAGAGTCGTGGCGATGACGACCGGGCGGTTGCGGCTGAGATGGCATGTTAGCGAGGGCCTAGGCCGGGGAGGGGGGGAAGAGGGTGACGAGGGGATGACCCTTGTGAGTCTGGCAAGGGAGGGGGGAGATATGATGGGACGTACGAGAAGGCACCGGCATGAAGCCTGACTAGCTGTCTTTGTTGGCGTGGGGTAAAAGACATGCTGGACAGGTAGATGAGATGGATGTAGGCGAGATGTCGAGGAGTTTGGTGTCGAAGACGGTTCAAAAGAAGCAGGTCGTCGACGAATTCGGAAGTTTGGGGGTGGATGAGATCTGGAGAAGGATTTAGATGGTATAGCAGGAAGAGAAAATAAGAAGAAGAAGAAGCAGCACCGATGGCCTGCTGGGAACAGGCAAGGTTTTGTGAGATCATCGACTGATCAGTGATGGTTATCTCGAAGGGGGGGGGGCCACCCAGACCCCGGATTCCTGGGGGGGCAAGGGGGGGCGCTGCATGCTGCACGCGACAACTGGGAAAGAGTGCGGGGGGTGGCCCAAGCTCTCGGGGCGGCGGGGTCTGCGTTTGCGATCTGGATCCTCGGTGAGGATCCGCTTCAGCAGAGGATTGGGTGGCAACTCACCGAGCATCCCTGCCTAGGGGGGTCTTTTGTTGAGGGGGCTTGAGGGGTAAGTTGAGCTGCGAGGATGGGACCGGCACTTGTAGGGTCTAGCATACTGTCTTTGCCCGTGTGATGCGGCATGGCTATCCAGATGGGAGGTCATGAGGCTCATATCAATTACCATGGGTGTTCATTCGCACGTACGTATCTTACCGTGCTCCATACTATGTATTGAGGGGGGCGAATCTCGTTGTCTTGGCCTGTTGGCTAGCTGACTTGCTGCCTACCTACCTCCTGTTTCATACTGCCCAGTACGGCAGCTCAGCTCCAGCACCCTCGTTCTCAACCACACCAACATCAAGAAGGCCGACCTTCCTCATGGATATTCAAGCTTCGAGTCGGTTCAGAATGATGGGTGGTGTCTAGCCTACCTATATCGCTCTCGCCTTGTTCCGCAGGAAGACAAATTCGGTGCTGGTCTCCGCAAAGAAGGATTCACAGCACCATGCAAGTGCAGGGAGGGCTCCAGGCCTAAGCCAAGCCCATCGATATCACTACCAACCATCAAAAAGATGCCAAGTCCCCACGCAAAGGATGCTGCCCGAGGACTGAATGGTAGGACCGGCCGGGCAGTTCATTGGTTGCCTTATTGTACCGCCACAAAGCGGTCGTGCTTGATGTCAATCCATCTCTGGCTTCCGCCCTTGTCAGACACCGAGAGCAGGATGATTGGTGCGGATTGGATTGTGACTGCTGCCTTGGACAGCTGGCTGCATCATGTTGCTCACACCCCGCCAACGACAACGAGTGAGAAGGCTGCTGTTGGACAAGATGCACATTTTTCAATCTGACAACAATCTTCTTTGGATATGGCCAGCAGCTGTTCATTCTCGACATTTCATCTCCAGGTCTGGAAGCCATCGCCTCTGGCCACTTTCTTCTCCCGTCAAAGACTCCTCTGTCCTCAACGTGCTACAAAACCTTGACGCACGTCGCACCATCGCGCACGCCGACGTCAAGCTTGGCGGATGCTCATTCTGAGTCGACAAGCGAGACTCTTTCATATTGATTGCCTGCGAGAAGCACCGTCGTTATCGGCCAAAACGTTGGCCCTTCCCAGCCGTCAACATGACTAACCGTGACGAGAGTGACATTGCCCGTACCTATCTGCACAATGCGCAGTATGAGATGAACGAGGGAGACACGGTTGTCTATATCAACATGCCGTCATGGACCTTGGCCGAGCCCATAGACTGCGTCGGCGACACCTGGAGATCGCTCCACGTCAAGATGCACTCGGACAAGATTCGCAGCCTCAAATCGTCAAAGTTCAGTAGCAAGCTTAAAGAGCTCCCGCCTACCCCGCCACTCGACAAGAACGGCTTCTTGCGGGAGGAGCTTGTTGGTATGAAGTATGTCATGGACCTGACCCCCAGCATCGAGGGCGAAGAGGTAGTCTACGAAATGGCCGAGATGTCCCTAACGCCAGGCATCATCGCCTGGTGGCGCAGCCAAGACGCCTTTGAGGCTGATCCGGCTGCTGTCAACGGCCATGACGACGTCTGCCACTGTGGAAAGAAGCGGCCCCATTTCGAGCTTGCTGACGAAAGGTTCAACATATGGAGCCGTCCGCCGGACCACCGCAACATTCCCGACTATTGCCCCATCAGACACCGCATCTGCATCCTCCGTCTGCTGTATCTCATCGAGGGCAAGCATGTCTTGCTTGACTCAGCTCCGCGTGTTTGGACGATGATTGCCATTTCCAAGATCTTCGGCTGTCTTGGTCTTATGGTGTGTCTCGCAACCTCTCCTTCCTTCCTTGTCGATATGACCATAGAACACCAGGTCTCCTGGAACCTTGTTAAACACAAAACGCTTACAAGTTCACAGGTCAGGCCAGTAGCCCAATGGCTCTTGATGTGGCGTAATTCTACCTTTCTTGAGGTTCTTCCCGAAGAGGGGTTGCAGATTGGCGTGACGTTCAAGTTCATCGACGTGACTCGATTCGTGTTCGAGATCTTGGTCTACGAGAAGGCACTCAAGGATGCTGGCGACAGCGGACGGTTGGCAGCGCCCAACACCACCATCTTCGGCCGCAAGAGCCGCGACGCTGGCGATGACCTCGACAACATGGTTCAACACGCTGCCCAGGCTTTAGTCCAGCGCAACTCTTCTGTGATGACTTTGCTCGGGAGCGATACAGTCTTTGACGACATGGACATCCCCGAGTGGAAGCGGCTTGCCGAAGTTCGGCGGAGACTCGCTGCAGAGACGGATAGCCATGAGTGTGCGGCGGCTGTCGTGGTCCTCGACCAGCTGAAACAGCGCATCTTGCACTTCTGGCGCAAGAACATCTTGGAGGAAGCTCTGGGTTGTCTCACAGGGGCCGAGTGCGGGAAAGTTGACGACTTTCGCTTCCGCTACGTTGCACCGAATAGTCGCGAGCGTCTGAACACCATCTACGACCGCATGAACCCGGTGCAGAAGGGCATGTGTCTTTTCTTCCACAACCGCATCAACACCATCGCGAGAACAGGTCCTTGGCAGCCCGGGCCCCTGACGCCGGAAAGCCCCGCAACAAAATCCCTGACCTTTGCCCAGGAGTACGTCGGTACCCTTTCGGTGGCCCTGAAGCGGTCCTTCGAGAAGGTTGTCGCGGCGCGGCCTCAGCTCTTTGCCGACTTTGACCGAGACCTGGAAACAGGCGCGGCTTCCAGGAATCCTTTCCGCCTCGTCAAGTTCGATAATCAAGTCTTTGGCGTGCTGCGGGAGTGTGTCGAGATTCCGCGCAACGACTTCTTCGACATTCCCAAGAAGCGCACGCCCTCGCGGTTCCTCACGAATCACTTTCTCGCCTTTCTTGTGCCCGACGAGGTCAAATTCCTGCCCGTCTGGGCGGGCGGGCAGGATGACGGGACTGGGCGGGTGTTCAACGACGAGCTGCCGCCTGCTGAGGACGGGCCGGACACGGGGTTCAGGGGCGGCGCGGCGGTCGTCTCGCCTTCCGTGGCATCAATGTCCGTTGTTGAGGGGCTACGGGGGTTGGATCTCGAGTCGGTCCTAGCGAGCGAGACGACAAGCATGAACGTGCTTAAGGATGGATCCATCATTTACAACCCCGGCCGGGTTATTGTGGACGACGAGTCGATCCACTCGGAGACGTTCACGGAGACTGGGGATGATTTGAGGATTGCACGGTGGGAGATGTAAACGCCAGGAAATCTTGGATAAACATGATTTTAGAGGCACCGGACATATGGATCTGACGCTTACACTTTGAGGGTTGGGATGATCTAGAACACGAGTTTTACAGTTTTTAATGATGTCACGAGAATCGAAACATTAAAAACCTTATGACCAGATTACGCCGAGGTTGACACGACGATATCGCATACCTCGGTGTGCCAGCGGAGGAAGTGTGTTGGAACGGGTCTGCTCAGGAAAACAGCACATGCAAACCTGAGTTGCTATCACGAGCAGCAAGTGAATGAACCAGCACATTTGCATCTCTTGGGTATCGCTGCCTTTATCTTGACAAGGCCACCTTGCCGTTTCGTCATGCCAGAAAATCTAACCCCTATTCAACGTGTTTCCAGCGCCCTTGGGGTTCGCCTCGACAAACTCGTCCCAAGCCCTCGCCTTGTACGTGGCTTCATCCGCCTTTTCGTGATCGTCCTCATCCGGCTCAGGTCTGCGAAAGCTGGCCTCGCCACCGCCCTCGATAATGCCGCCACGCTTCCTCTCCTCCTCCAGATACTCGTCAATGCTCATGGTCGGCAGGTTATGGCCCGGCCTAAAGACGCCAGCCTGCGCCTCCTCGCGCGAGCCGACGAGCGTAAAGGGCCGCATGGGTTTCCCGGCCTTGCTGAGCAGCGACCCGCTCTGCTCCAGTATGATGCGCAGCCGGCGCGGCTCCAGCCTCTCGGCGTGGCCGCTCTCCTCGCCGGCGCGGCGCCGGCGCGCGTCCTCCTCGGCCGTCTCCCGCGCCGGCAGCAGCGGCCGCGCGGTCGCCGCCTGCGCGAGGACCTCGAGCTCGCGGTTCAGCCCCTCGAGGCCCTGGAAGGCGTTGTGCGCGGCAAACTCGAGCTGGGCGAGGTACAGCGCGCGCAGGATCTCCTCGTCGCCGTCATCGACGTAGCGGGGGTCGGCGGCGAGGGTGGCGAGCCGGGCCTTGAGATCCTTCTCGGCCCTGAAGTTCGCAATCTTGGCGTCGCGGCGCTTCGAGGGGTCGGAGGCGGCGACGGTGGAGAAGGCGGCGGGGTCGTCGGTGTAGCGGGAGTAAAGGGACTTGTGGGCGGGCGTGAGGATCTCGTACGAGTCGAGGGAGGCTAGGAAGCGCTCGTAGGCTTCGCGAGCTTCAGAGAGGACCAGCTCGCGGTCGATGGGGTTCGGGGTCGGGGTCTTGAGGTAGAGGTCGGCAAGGAAGGATTCCATGAGGAGGTAGGGGAGGTCTGGGGTCGCAATGTCGTCGAGGGGTTCGTTCGGGGAGAAGAGGGAGACACGGGAGATGGTTTGGATGGTGTCGCGGTGGGCCTGAATGGCTGTCTCGAGGTCGGCGGCGTAGGAGGGGTTGGACACCGGGGAGGTAGCTTCGATGGCCTGCCGTTTCTGCGCGGCGAGTGCGGCAATCTGTTTGAGGGTGCGGGGCTCGTTATCGTCTGCCATCGCGAGATGTTGTGCAGATGAGAGGGCGGTTTTGGATACGAGATCAGGCTCTCCAACGACCAAGTATGGGTGCTCCACGTTCTTTCGACCGGTTGTAGCAAGAGAGCAGGCTCAAGAACGGCGTCGGGGGAATACTGCAGTCAAAGTTGGCAGCAGTGGCAATTGGCAGGCTGCCCCGCGAAGTGGATGATGTTCAGGGTTCAGGGTCGAGCTGTCTTATCTTATCTCCACCAACGAGTGGTCAAACAGCTGTTTCCGAAGCTGCCCTTCACCGAGCGTCTTCAGCAGCAACATCTTCAACTCTGGCAGAACAAGAGTATGCCATGGACACGTCCTGGGCGCAACTTATGCATTCTCCATCGTCGTGTAGGTAGCTTGCCGTGCGGCTTGTAGGTGTAGCAAAGATGACAAACACACTTTGCAACTGACTGATCCCCCATCACAAATTTGCCATTTGAGATGGGAACCATCATGCTATTAGATCTAGTCTGAGATGGAGAGTCATCTGTTCATCTGTAGCATCAATGCTACGCCATAAATGCATTCAAGTCAGATAACTGAGACATGCGCGGGGAATGCTCCTTCAAATCGACTATAAGACTGTCACCAAGCTTCCCCCGTCCGCCTTGCTATCCATGGCCTCTTCACCGAAAGCAAACAGTCACTTTACATGGCAACGCGAAGAGCTAGAGGCTTGTACATTTAGGGAACGGCTCTCTGACTCCAAGAGAACCCACGACCGGATCTAAAGTATTCACTCGGTGACTTCCTTTGGATCAGATACCACAGTGAATCAAAGCTGTCACACTTCGACTTCAGCGGGAACAAGAGGAAGGAGCACCAATGGCCAACACTGATCGGGATTACAAAAGAGCTCACTTTCTCTCTTCACACCCCTACTGATACCTTTTCCCTGACAACACCTACCTCAGCACTTGCAGCGGTCACAACGCGTCTCAAGTCATACGGACATCCACTCTCTTCCTGCGCATGCTTGCTTGAGAGGATGACGACTGACGAGCTCTCTGTTGGTCTGGACGCCACCGGCATCTCAATCCTCGCAGATGGACCGGAAAACATATCGTCCAGCACATCAACATCTACGACTGGAAAGGAAGATGGATACCTCTGTATCAACAGATTCACTCAGAATACCGCCACGACCCAGGACAACCAGAGCCGAGATTCTGACGACGATGAGGATGACTGCGGCAGCCACGATGAAGCTGACGAAGATTCAGACGAAAGACAGTACAGCATGACCCCAGAAAGGCCTCATAAAATTACCGAGAAGAAGCGCGCAGATCATGCTGCCTTTCACGACTGGCTTCAGAGCAACTCCAGCGAGATTGCTCAGTCAACCCCTCAGCCGGCTCAAAACCTCAACCACACCTCCACGGCCCTGATGGTACGCGAGAGTGAGAATCGTAAGATCATCGAAAATCCTCGGGAGTATCAGATTGAGCTCTTCGAGCGGGCGAAGCGAAAGAACATCATTGCCGTGTTACCCACTGGATCAGGAAAGACCTTAATCGCAGCCCTTCTTCTGCGACACACCCTCGAACAAGAAACCGCGGATCGACGCGCGGGCAAGCCCAAGAGAATCGCCTTTTTCCTCGTGGAAAAGGTTGCTCTTGCCCTCCAACAGCACGCGGTTCTGGAGTGCAATCTGGAATTTCCCATTGACCGGGTATGCGGTGACATGGTACGGTCGGACTGGATCAAGGAGTCATGGATGAAAAGATGGGATGACAACATGGTCATGGTCTGCACCGCCGCCATCCTTCAGCAATGCCTTGCCAGATCATTCATCCGCATGGATCAGATCAACCTGCTTGTCTTCGATGAAGCACATCACGCCAAGGGAAATCATCCGTACGCCCGGATCATCAAGGACTACTACATTACGGAACCTGACAAAGAAAGGCGCCCCAAGATCTTCGGCATGACTGCCTCTCCGGTGGATGCCCTCACCGACGTCAAGATTGCTGCCGCTCAACTCGAAGGTTTGTTGCATAGTGAGATTGCGACAATCGAGGAGGACTCTGTATCATTCAAACAAATCCAGAAAGAGGTCGTCGAACAAGACTGCAAGTACCCTGCCCTCGAACCACCCTTCACCACCAATCTTCATAAGAAGATCCAAGAACAGGTGCGCTACAACAAGAACTTCGCAAAGGCGCTGAGCAATTCTTTAGAAATGTCGAGCTCCCTTGGCAGCTGGTGTGTCGATCGCTTCTGGCAGATATTTCTGACCGAAGAAACCCTCGCGAGATTGGCAGCGCAAACTGCACAAGACAACATTTTTGCCGATCGCGCCGAAAAGGAGCGCGTTGCCATTGAGGAGGTCCGCAACATCATCAAGCAACATCAGTTCCTCCCAATCACCAAAACCCTGCAAGACTTGTCGTCCAAAGTGCTGTGCCTCCTCGGCCAACTGGAATTGCGCTTCAGTGCCCCTACCGATCACAAGTGCATCATCTTCGTGGAGAAACGAAACACAGCCATGATTCTGGCTCACCTCCTCTCCTTGCCTGGTATTGGACCTCTATATCTGAAACCGGCTGCGCTTGTAAGTGAAATACATCGGGGATCGTTGGTGCCGTACTGAACAGAATCAGGTCGGGAACCCATCTGACAACAGCCCTCTTGCCATGTCGTACAAAGAGCAAGTGATGACAATAACAAAGTTCAGACGTGGTGAATACAACTGTCTTCTCGCCACTTCTGTGGCCGAGGAGGGCATTGACATCGCAGACTGCAACATTGTCATTCGATTCGATCTTTTCAACTCGGTGATTCAGTACATACAATCCAAAGGCCGCGCTCGGCACTTGAACTCGGAGTATATTTGCATGGCCGAGCTAGGCAACGGCAAGCATACAAGGGCGAAGATACAAGCAAATTATGACCTCTCCCTCATCCGCCAATTCTGCAGCACACTGCCAGAAGACCGCAAGATCGTGGGCTGGGACCCCGAGGCAGCTCTTCACCATGGCGAGCGCGACCATAAGTTCCACATCGTTCCATCCACCGGGGCCAAACTCACCTGGACCGGCAGCCTCGTGGTTCTGTCAAATTTTGCCTCTTCTCTACAGGTGAACGACGAAACACTAAGTCCTTCCTATATGGTCTCTCTCATCGGTAGCGAGTACATCTGCGAGGTCCAGCTTCCGAGCAAGTCTCCCATTTTGAGCGTGTCAGGCACGCTCCAAAAGAACAAAGCAGAGGCCAGGTGCTCCGCAGCGTTTGAGATGTGCATGAAGCTCATCAAAGGTGGGTTCATCAGCAGTCACCTTCAGCCGACGTTTACCAGGAAGCTCCCGGCCATGCGAAACGCACGCCTAGCCATCAGCTCCAAGAAGCGTGAACGGTACAATATGAGGGTCAAGCCAGAGGTATGGTCACGGCGTGGACCGGCATCCTCTCTGTTCCTCACAGTCCTGAAGCTTCGTACACCTGGTGCATTGAACAGACCATCACAGCCACTCGCCCTCCTCACACGAGAGGCACTGCCAGAGCTTCCAGGAGTTCCGCTATTTTTCGGTAACTGTGGTCGGTCCATAGCGGAGGTAGTATCTGTGGCGAAACCCATGCACTTGGATGAAGTACGTCTAGACAGCCTCAGAGTATTCACCCTGCGCATTTTCAAAGATGTCTTCAGCAAGGTATACGATTCTCAAGTCGCAGACCTTCCATACTTCCTGGCACCTGCTGCTCATGACCACAGTCATGAGTTCTCACCGAATGAAGACCCAGGGTCACTGATCGACTGGAGCCATCTGCTGTCGACCAAAGAGGTTGAGTACTTGCCTTGGGATGAAGATCACAGTCCCAGCTTCTATCAAAGCAAGTTTGTGATTGATCCATACACGGGATCGCGCAAGCTGTTTCTCAGAGGTATTCGGACAGATCTCAAGCCGACCGACTTGGTTCCAGATGGAGTTCCCGAACCCACATTCAGGCTCTGGAAGGACGTTGAGCATACCATAAAGGAATACAGCATCAGCCTCTGGGCAAAGAGTCGAGCCCGGAGAGCTGGCGAATGGTTGGACACTCAACCCGTGGTAGAAGCCGAGTTGGTCTCGCTGCGCCGGAATCTTCTCGACGAATTTGCCGATTCCAAGCATGAAGGGTCTAGGGTCTGTTATGTGATTCTCCAGCCGCTACAGATCTCAACACTCCCTGTCGAGGTCGTCGCTATGGCCTACAACTTTCCCGCCATCATCCATCGGATTGAATCGAATATGATCGCCCTTGACGCCTGCCGTATGTTGAACCTTCGAGTTCGTCCCGACCTGGCTCTCGAGGCGATGACCAAAGATTCAAGCAACAGTGAAGAGCACGATCAGGAAAAGATTGATTTCCAGGCCGGCATGGGCAATAATTATGAGCGACTCGAGTTTCTCGGAGACTGCTTTCTCAAAATGGCAACCACCATCGCACTTTTTACTCGGATCCCTGACAGCAACGAGTTTGAGTGTCACGTCGAGCGAATGCTTCTTATTTGCAACCAGAATCTGTTCAATGTCGCATTAAAGAAGAACTTGCAAGAGTACATTCGATCAAAGCAATTCGATCGACGCAGTTGGTACCCCCAGGGTCTGAAGCAGAAGGCGGGCAAAGCCCAAGGAGCACAAAACTCACACTCATTGGCCGACAAGTCTATTGCTGATGTATGCGAGGCCATCATTGGCGCCTCATATTTGTCGTACACTGACGAGGGCAACTTTGACATGGCCGTACGCGCTGTGACGGCCGTCGTGAGGAACAAAAATCACGACATGAAATCATACGAGGACTATTACAAAGCATTTAAGATGCCGATCTGGCAAGCGGCGGAGCCAAGTGCTGTGCAGATGGAAGCGTCTTTACAGATTAAAGAGCAGATGGGATATGAGTTCAAGTCTCCTGCCCTGCTGCGGAGTGCCTTCAAGCACCCGTCCTACCCCCGTCAGTTTGAGAGCGTGCCCAATTATCAGCGCCTCGAGTTCCTCGGTGACGCGCTTCTAGACATGGTCTGCGTAGACTTTCTCTTCAGGAAGTTTCCCGACGCCGATCCTCAATGGCTCACTGAACACAAGATGGCCATGGTTTCGAACCACTTCCTCGGAAGTCTGAGTGTAGAGTTGGGCTTCTACCGGCGTGTCCTTCACTTTAACAGCATCATGGCCAATCAAATCAAGGACTACGTCGACGCACTTACTCATGCACGCCAAGAAGCCGAAGCGGTGGCCCAGATCTCTGGCACAGTCTCGCGAGATTACTGGCTCAACGTGAAGCACCCCCCCAAATTCCTCTCAGACGTGGTCGAGGCATACATCGGTGCTATTTTCGTTGATTCAGGATACGATTATGGCCAGGTACAGGCGTTCTTCGAGAAGCATATCCGGCCTTTCTTCGCAGACATGGCGCTATATGATTCCTTTGCCAGCAGCCACCCTGTCACAACGCTGGCGCGTATGATGCAGCAGGACTTTGGCTGCCAGGACTGGCGGCTTCTTGTAAGTGAACTGCCGCCGAGCTGCGAAGACGGCGGGGCAGCTGCGATCACTGAGACGGAAGTGATTTGTGGGTTCATGGTCCACGGAAGAATCCTGCTACATGCCAAGTCGTCGAGTGGACGGTACGCCAAAGTGGGTGCTGCAAAGAGAGCGGTCGAGAAGCTCATGGGTCTCGGCAACGACAAAGAGGTCTTTCGGACGGACTTCGGCTGTGACTGTGACTGTGAAGGTCAAGCAATCTAGAAGCTGTCAATTGATGCGGAGGGTGAGTGAACGTCTCGTCGGCGGGGCCCCTTGAGGCGAGCGCCCGTTGGGGGGTGTTGTGGCACTAGGTTCTCTAGGCCGGCGGTGACTTTCATTACTATATTAGAAGCAAATACGGCGCCTTCATCACAATAATAAATATCGATCTCGAGTCGATTCCAGACCCGTTATAAACCTATGTCTGTGCAACCAGTTGGGTGCTAATTTCTTGCATTATCATCATGGATGTTGTCTATTTGAGTCTCAGGTCCAGCTGGTGCTTATAGGTCATCTCCAGTATGCGACTACCTCTCTCCCTCTTTGCCATTCCTAACTGATTCTAACTCATAATTTTCCCTTTACGTCTATAAAAAGGGAATCTGCCTTGACAAGAACAGCGCCCTGCTCGTCCTCTACAGTCCCTACCAGGAAACTTTTCCTTCCCTCGATACGCAGCACCTTGGCCCGACAAAGGTACGTCGCCGGCACCGGGACAGGTTTCAGATAATTGATGTTCAGGTACCCCGTCATGTGCGTCTGAGTGGACAAGGCGCCTCGCGACTTGTTCATACCCATGGTGAGACCCAGGACCTCATCCATGAGGGCGGCGATGAGGCCGCCATGGCACAGGGAGGGGTGACTGGCAACGTCAGTGCCAAGGGTGACGAAGAAGTCAATCTCCTCAACGAGGGGCGGGGCGTCTGGCGCAGGGGCTTCGTGGAAGGAGAGGAAGGCCTTGATGGCGCCTGGTGCGTTGAGGACTGTGGCGAAGAGGTTGTCCTCCCCCGAGAGTTTGGGGAAGCGGCAGACGGGGGTCTCGTAGATGGTGGTGGGTGTGAGGTGGGCGGCGCACCAGGGTATAGAGAGGAAGTGCTGGAGGTCTGGATTCTCCGAAGTCATGGCCGAGACATCTTTGTTTGTCTGTTTTGTTTTCGCTGCTTCGCCTTCCATTGCAAAGTAACGTTGATGAGTATGTAATTGAATGCCACCTACCAGGCTATCGGCCGTGTGAGTTGTTATACAAGAGGCGCGATGTTCAGTTGTACCGAGGTAAGCTCCACTTTCCTCCTTGTGGCCTGTGCGAAAGTCCACCCCTGAGGTTTGGGTGCCAGGTGCCCAGGAAGACCTAGCAACAACTTGCTGGCACAGTCTCTCATCCAGTACCTCGGAAGAATGACATGGAAACATAAACAGAAATGACCAGTTCGGATGCCTCGATATCATGCTTACATTCAATATCATCGGCGGATCGCATGAGTGCGTGCCCAATATGCTTGGGGACAGGTACTCCGCCAGTCATCACTGCCTGTTCGCCTTTCAAGAAGAGGGGTAGCAGGTACGGCTGGGGTTGATGGGCAGTCATGACTGGACTTAATCAACCCGTAGCTGCTTCTTCCAATGGATATGGCTTTGAATTTCTACGAGTATCCAGAAGCAGTGCTCCAGAAACAGTGGACTGGAAGAACACCTTCGTGCCAACTCTGCTTCACGACTCGTTGATTTTATCGTACCCATGCACAACCACAAACATCACAGCCGGAGTAGAGCTTTTGATTCACCTCTGAAGTTCCTTATAGTCACACAATATCTATCATGCTACGTCACATATCGTTGCCGGATATGCCGCCCATGAAGGAGGAGAACCCATACGGCTGCCTTGGGCAAAACCAGACGCTCCCGGCAGATCTCTTTCGCAAATCATCCGGCCCCAAGCGTGCACCCCTTCTTGCCAATCTGTAGGACAGAAGCGCTGAATCAAGGGAGCTGACTGACACGGAGAAGGCTGCTATTGCAGGCGAAAAGGTGCGCGCCAAGCTGCGGAACCTCTTCAATGCTCCGACTGGCGCCGAGAACATACCCAGGGACCAGCAGCTTCCACGGTTTCTTCCTTTTGAGGAACGCGCGGAATGGCGCAAGGCCAACGCCGTGACACTCACTTCTGGTGCTGCTTTCCCGTCGTACCAGTCGAACAGGTTCAAGGCAAGGAAAGCCTCGGTCAATATGGATCTTTGTCTTCTGGACGACTATTCTCCTTCGCCGCAGGAGTACACGGAACCTGATATCCTCATGAAGGTCCTTCATCACGGCCATGGTCTCGGTAGCAAGACATCTTTGTCTGCACAGGTTGATGAACATGTCCAGAAGAAGAACCCCCCGGAAGCCGACAATTGCCACGCTCACGACTTCTCGTCATCCTCATATATCAGTGCCAGCATCGGCAAGATCCAGTCACGGCCAGAATCCCCTGTTCAGTCTCACGCGAAGGATGCGATCCCAGATACCCAACTCCTGCAAGCTATCCGCAAGCTTCGAATCAGTTCGTCAAGCCCTGGAGTTCAAGGCACGCCATCGGCTGCCACCGAATATCGCATCTCTCGGTCCCACAGTTCAAGCAGCCGCAAGCTGTCATCTTCAAACGAGCCTCGACATGCGAGACGTGCTATGAGCTCGAGCAATGACAACAATGCACATCTTAACAAAACAGAGATTACTCATTTCATGGCATCTCAGGCTGATGAAACAACAGCTGAACTGGAAGCACCTCGGCACCGATGTCCCACTGCACATACATTCGCTAGTTCCTATCGGTCCTGTCAAACGAGCATCAAGTCCGGTGTACTGGAATCATCAATGGGCGTCGCGCAAGTGTCCCGGGGCAACGCCATCTCCGACAAGACGGATTCAAGTGTCCGAGAACTCCGGGGGCAGAAGTCCACCGACCGCAGATCCTCCGATGACACGTCTGTATCGGCCGAACCATCTGTGTTGGAGCTACCAAGCCCAGTAGCCTCAGTTCCATTGCAAAAGCCTGCTGGCAAGGGACGTCTTCAAAAGAAGAAGCCTAAGACAAGGAAAGCTGATGGACAGTGTGTCACCAAGGGTGTTCTAGAAGGACACAGTAGTACCAAGCAGCAGGAAAACATAAAGAAGCACAAGCACAGCCTTATTACCCGAGCAAGAAAGGCCCTCTCGCAGCGTCGCCGTCGTGTCCAAGCCTGGCTGAGGAACACACGAGAGAGCTGGCATGGTGTGGACGCCAAGGCTGAGCTGCGCAGACGCAAGAAGAAGAGGCAGTCCCACGCTCCACTTCTTCGTCCAGTGCGCAGCGTGTTCGGGTTGCGGAACATCTCGAGCGACACTGTGGTCGTCGGATCCATGGAGAAGGAGGTTGAAAGACGTGCCAGCGACCCGGTGCTACGGCCCAGATACAGTGTCTTCAGCTTTCGTTCGGGAGTGAGTACGAGGCGTGGGAGGGTTTAACCAGCATCAGGGGCGATGTCAGCTGAGAGTCGACGAGGCAGTCATGCTATTCTTTTTAATTCACAAGACAGTGCCAAGAAGACAAAGTTAAGAGAAGGTCCAATGTTTTCAGTTCTCCACGCACAACCGTGACACACAACGCAAATGCTCAGCCGCAGCCAGCTAACTCTCTTCGTCGTTTGTTCGGTAGGCTTCATTTCTCGCCCATGGTATTAAAGCATATATCGAAAACTTTCTCTCTCCTCTCTTCGTCTCTTGCTACTCCTTCCAACCAGCCCCTCCTCTTCCTCAGCGCCCACGTCGTCGACCTCTGAAATCCCCGTCTCCTGCACCCTGCCTTCCTCTCGATCCATCCGCCGATTCAGCACCTGCATGTACACTCTCATGACTCCGACGAGCACCGCCACGCCCAGCATTGCGCCGGCGCACGCCCGCATGCCCTTCTCGTAGAAGGGCGCGTCGGCGTCGGGGTACAGGCGCGTGCCGACGAGGGGCCCGCACTGGCCGACGAGCTGCAGCAGGGCAAAGGCAGCGGCGCGGCGGGGCCCGCGCGGCTGGTTGTTGACGGACCAGGCCAGGAGCAGGGCGACGACGGCGTAGAAGCCGGCGGCGGCGGGGAAGAGGGCGGCATACCGGAGCCAGGGGGACAGGCCGAGCGGGCGGGCGAGGGCGAGGACGGCGTAGCCGGCGGCGGAAGCGAGGGCGTGGAGGGCCAGCGGGGCGGAGCGCGAGCGCAGGCGGTCGGAGAGGGCGGCTGTCGGCAGCAGGACGAGGAAGGCGACGAGGTAGGGGGGCGCCGCGAGGATGTGGGCCTCGGTGTCTGGGTGGCCCATTTCCGTGAGGATCTTGGGGAGGAAGACGGGGAGCGAGGAGAAGGCCATGTTGGTGAGGAAGAAGATGGCGGCGGGGAGCCAGGCCAGCGGGTCTTTGAGGATGGCGGCGTACTGGGACAGGGTCGAAGACGTCGGCGGGGACGTTGAGGCGGCGTCGGCGGCCGAGGAGGGCGAGGGTGGCGTCTCCTCGTTGCGCAGGCGCAGGCGGGCGACTTTTCGCTGGCGCGGCGTGAGGTAGGTTGCTGTTTGCGGCGAGTCGGGGATCAGACGCCAGGCGATGGGGGCGATGAGCACCGAGGGGAAGCCCTCGAGGAGGAAAAGGAGGCGCCACGGGGCGATGGGCCCGTTCTTGGCGAGCGACACGATGAGAAAGGCGAGAGACGAGGCGAATGCGGTGGCCAGGGGCGCGGCGGACAGGAATACGGCTGTGCGAAGGGCGAGCTCTTTCCGCTTGAAGAAAAAGGAGAGGTAGTATGGAATGCCAGTGAACGCGGCCTCACCGATGCCGAGGAGGGCGCGCAAGGCTATGAGCATGGGGTACGAGACGGCGACGGCCTGAAGGGATGCGATGAGGCCCCAGGAAAAGACAATGGCGGCAATGTAGGCATGGGCCGGCAGGTGGCGCCAGAGTATGGACATCCACTCAAAGGCAATATAGGTCATGTAGAAAGTCGTCAGAGCCCAGGGGTACCATCCGTCCCAGGCGGGCGTCGTCTGGAGGTCGGCGTCCATGCCGGCGATGCGGGCGTTGCCAATGTTGGAGCGGTCGAGGAAGCTCAGCATGTAGAGCAAGGCGACGAAGAGGACGAGTCGGCGATCGAACTTCTTGACCACAGCAGCCTCTTCATCTGGCGTGTACAGCTGGAAGCTGGCGACGGTGCTCGTCATGCTGCTTCTTCGACCAGAGGCCGAGGTGGCAGGCCGTATCCAGCCATCGCTATCTTCCTCGTCCTCCTCGTCATCATCGCGACGGCCACCGGCCTTGACAGGTTGCAGCTCGTAAGCCTCGCCGAGGGCGGATTCGCCATGGCGCAGGTCGTCATCTTCTGATTCGAGGTCGAGGTCGAGATCGTTATCGAGGTTAAATTCTGCCGTCGTCGGGGCGGATGGGGGCGAGGCGTCGCGGCGTTGGAGGTGGCCTCCTCGTGAGGAGCTGGCCATGGTCGTGACGCTTATGAACCAGAGAAGAGATACGCATCGACCAGAAGCCAAATCTCGGTATCAGCTTGCCACGTCAACGTCGCCTCAACGATGACAGCATTGGCTGCTCGACATTTGGCTGTAGAGCAGCAATCAGGGGCCGTTGAACGTCGGTCGGGGGGGGGGGGGAGGGAAGTATCGGCTGAGGTGAAATGGGGGTAATCGCCGTTGTTCTGGATCACAACGTTCAATTGGTCTCGAAGCTGGCCCATGACGTCTTTAGCGAGGTGATCCCTGTCATAGCTCCCTCGCGCCCCCCATCCCGTCCCCTCCCCTCCCTAAGGCTCCAGAGTCCAAATCGCCATGGCTCGTCTTGGCTTGGTTCCGAAAAGCCTGGGGAAGGGCGCCTGAGCATGAATCGCTAGGGTCCAGAGCGATGAGATCTCCGCTATTAGAGGGGCTGGCTGTACGTAGCTGGCTGTACGTAACAGCTAGCCGCCTTGCATGGGTCTGTTAGGGGTATCACACTGACAGTGGACTTGGTCTGAGCTGATGATTTTCAACCGCTACCAACTCGTCACCCAAGCCTATTCCGCAACGTATCATGTGTTGGGAAACGTAACGCGTTACTGTGCTTGATATTATCATCATCATTAAACATGGCGGCCTAGGCCTTCCCCTGTCTACCTTGGCACGCCCAGATAGTGACAGCGGGCAACACCCTTGGTGTGTCCTGATTATACCCAACGCCATCCCATGACTCCAATAACCGTGATGGTGCCAATAAAATCACCCTGATGCACGCCAGAGCATCAAGACGACCCTTCTTTCATACCAAACAACCTCCGCAAGCTCCGACTCTTGTGTGGTGTTTTGACCCCAACATTTGATTCCATCACTGGTTGAGGGTGTGCTGTCGCCGGCCGTTGCTCTCTCGCCGGTGGAGGCTCTCGCGTCGGTGCTGGCGGCACCCCGACCGACGTCGCCTTTTTATGGGTGGGCGGCGCTGCGGATGGCGGCGGTGGGAATGGCGAGTATCCTCCCGTGACGCGCTTCGATGCGCTGCCACTTCGATCCCTGCTGTACCGTGTCTCCCTGCTGCCGGTCCGCGGTCGTGTCTCACCCTCGGGCGGCCTGTCCATGGATAGCTTGTTCGGTCGGTGGCCTTCCCCCCGCGGCGCGTCAAAAGAGCGCATCGCCGGCTCCAGCACGGGCTCCTGCCTCATGAGCTCCGCAATGTGTCTCGGCTCCAGCTGCTCCCGCGGCGCCTCCAGCAGCTCCTCGCACACGGCACGCTCTTCGTCACCACACACGACGACGTACCACCGAATGTCCTCGCCCTTTTGCAGCTGGTCCCGCAGCTTTTCGAGCCACCCAGCCTTCTTTCCCGAGGTGGCCCCCTTCTTGTGCCCTGCCTTGCCGTTGTTGAAGTCGTCGCTGCTCGCCGCCGTCATGGCCCTGCCGCCGGCCGAGTCCCGCCCCATGCGCTCCTCGTAGCCGGCCATCTCCTCGACCACCGACACGCTGAGGTCGACCCGGACGACGTGGTCCGCCACAAAGGCGTACGGCCGGCTGACGCTGGTCAGGTCCGTCGGGTCGTACTCCTCCAACAGCTTGACGGCGCTCCACGAATTGAGCAGCACGTCGTCCTCCTCCGGCGGCACCGGCGGCGGAGGTTTGGCGAAGGGGTCGGCGGCGTCATTGTGAGCCTGCGAGCCGTTGCGGCGTTTCGAGGCGCCGGTGCCAGCAGCGGCTTTCTTGCGCTGCTGCTGCTGGCGGTCGCCGCTGGCCGGCCGGGCCTCGGGGAGAAAGTCAAAGTTGGTGTAGAAGGACTCGAGAATGGCATTGGAGGACTCGGGGCCAATGATCCACTCGGGGGCGGCGTCGTCGATGTTCTGGACGACGACGTAGACGCGGATGCTCGGACGGTGCCAGCGGAAGCCGTGGCAGAGGTAGGTCGGCATAGTTTGGTCAGAGCTTGTGCGGCAGCACGCTGAGGGATCTTGAAGGCGAACACTGCGAAACATGAAAGTACGAGAATCTCTCACTTTCCCCCCGACAGACCAAGATGCGGTCGAGTCTGGATATTCAGAGCGAGGTGGGCTACTCCAGGGTGATGATGGTCAGGTCAGGTCAGGTGGAATGATGTCTTTGACCATGTTACGATGGGACGCAAACGGCGAGTGCCACTGTGGCCTGTGGAGATGGGACCACGGGCCAGGAACAACAACATGGTCCTCCAGGAAATACCAATCGACCTACTCGACTGAGTTCGAGTGGCTCCGGGCACGAAGAGAAAAAAAAAAGGAAACAAAGGAATTGAGTGCAAGCGAAACCCTGTACAGGTTTCACGTTCGCGAACCGATGCGTGCTGGTTCCGAGTGGAGTCACCCTGAGATGACATAAGCGAAACGCCGTGAGCTAGCATTCAAGTGGATGACTCAGCAAGTTCACAGCACCAACATCGGGCTACCCCTCCCCCTGCCAATCTGGTTGGCCCTCCTGCCTTGATACTTGGCACAGCCTTGTCGACTTCATATGTCTTCCTGCAGCTCTCAGCTCGTCGTCAATCCCTGCCTGACATTTGGAATCAGCATTAGGAAACTGAAGCCGCGATTGCAAGCACACTCCGTGATGAGGGTCAAAGAGTGCATAAATCTATTGATCATCGCCCCCCCCTTCTCTCGAGGCCCTGCTCATCACGTTGATTGCTGAATGGAGGCCACCACTACAATGGGGTGATACAGCATCTATTGTAATTAGAAGCAATCCTTTTGCGACGAATCAAGCCAGGCCGAGCTCTCAGTGCTGACAAGGCCAAGGTGCTGACAAGGCCAAGATGCTCACACTCGGGCTACGTTCTTCTTCACACACCGCAGACGAGCGTGCTTGACACTCTTCCCTCAAGGCTGAGACCATGCGGTGATACCACTCTCTGCTGCCGCTTGGATCATCTGCCACTGGAATACGATGGAGAACGCCAAAGCCGGGCGAGTCGACTGGGTACCACAAACCGCCGTACAGCTGCGGCAGCCCAACGGCGCAGACAAAAGGACCTCCAGCCTGCGTCCTCTTCGACGTCATCGGCCAATTCTCACCACATTGGTCCCCCGTGGAGAAGCGGCAAATCGCGCGGCCTAGACCTCCGTAGGATACAGCCCCCAGCAAAAATGCAACCCGAAGGATTGCTATGCCTGTGAAAATAGAAGCCTTGCCACCAGGCCTGTTACACCAAAACGGCTTGCCTCCTCTGTTCGTCCACTCCCCCCAATGCAACACATCCCCGTCCGAGTCTAAATCAAGCCCTCAATAAACATGCAGTGTTTCCCGGCTACGAGCCCAGATGGCAAAGGATAGCCGCCGAACATGGATCCATCTCGCGCTTGTTACTCGTGGTCGCCCGTCGCTCTGCGAAAGAAGAATGGTACCCGTTGTTGCTTAAATCTCTAGGGATCCTGCTGCGGCCTGTTCCTCTGATCCTTGTTGTAGACAAACCCCAAATTGCCAACTTGTTCGACCGTCGGTGCACATCATGGCCCCTTACCAGAATGCGAACAACGCTCCTGAGGTAGTGCAGCAAAGCATACCTGAGGTGTACCACCCTCAGTCGGCCGTCTCGCCTTCGTATCACGCCCAATCACAGCG